TGCCAAGCATCTGATACGATTTAACCACCAATAAAAGGTACAATACATATGAACTCATGATATGGTACCTTGGGCTTCTGGCATGCCTTACTAGAGAGAAACTAGTAGAAAGTAAGATGATATATAATAGTAGAAAAATACTTGTGATTTTTTTAAAAACTATCTAAGTAGATGCCCACCCCGTTCCCACCCCAAAATGCAAAATAATTACATCCCTTAGGTGTATACTTTCCCTTCTGCATAGGGTAACATTTAAGATAAACCTAATACACATACATAAATTTAAGAATTAAAAACTCATCACCCATAATTATTAAGGATGCTAAGAAATGGCAATACCTTGAAGCATTTTTCGATTAAAAAAAAAAAACAACACAAAGCTTTAGATGGAACTCTACACTTAAGAGGAACACAAACCCAAACCTTTATCCTTATGCCCTTGCTTGGTATTTAAGTTCTACTTTAAATACTTGTTTGAAAAACTCAGTATACAGTTCATTCAGTACTACAATGATAATAGGAGTAAAGATTTCCACTTCCATTAGATAATGAACTAATCTACTTAGAAGACTATTATAGTAACTCTCTTCTCACATACATTTACATATATGGTACTCAAATGGTATGTGCTCTAAAGAGGTTTTCTTGAGGTTTGCACCTCTGAACTTAGTTTCTAAACTTTCCTTTCCACTAATCTCTATTCAATGTCATATACTTTGCTAGTTGCTCTGGGAGAAGTCGTGGACATTTAAACAGCTTATCATGCACTTCAAGGTTACATGGAAAAATAATGAGGGAAGTGCCTTAAGAGGTAGGAAGTAGGCTCTTATCCCAACCCTTGGTATGCCCTGTTATGAACAGTTAAAAGACTGGAATCAAAGTGGTAAATGTGAGACTAAGAGTAACACAAGGCTTAAGAAAATTAAGTCAACTTAATTACTAGGATTCTTTGAGAACACTCACATTGGAACCAGTTACAAGTCACTCAATCACAGAGAATACAGCAGTGTCAAAAATACATAATGCACACTGTAGGTATAAATTCTTCTTGGCCATCCATACTTAGGTATTATCACTCTGTAGATTCTTCACTAGAAAAAGTGGTTAAGCTTGGCTCTGCAGAATACCACAGTCCCAAGAAAGTGAATTTCATTCCTTCATTAATTGGTCCCCACCAATGGTCACTTGGGGAGACCAGCAATATGTAAGCAATCTGGAGGTGAAAAGAGGGCTATTTTCATTTGTTAAAATAAAAATACAGAGGTAAGTCAACCTCTTCGTGAATTAAATAAGGCTCAAAGTATACATCCAGTTCGTTAGTCACATCGAGTTGGACCTTTCGGAGGGACAGAACTCTAAAACTAGATTGGAACCTCCTGGTATAAGCACCAAGGGTCGGCCATGAAACCCATCCGATTTATCAGAGAAAACAGACCTTCTCTGACCCTTTACATTCCTGAGATATCTGTCCTAATGTCTTCATAAACCTCAAGTGCTTGATACCATCATTAAGAGAGCATTTTCTAAATAAAAAACTGAAAAATTGTAGGACATTTATAAGAAAAGCCAGAAAATAGAGAATGTCAAAGTCATGTTGAGATGTGTATTGTATTGCTGGCTTTCATGGTGATTCAGCCTATCTGTACCAAGGCCCCCAAATCTTGAATGTTTCTCTGCTCTCACACCTCAGGCTGGACCTATCCCGGCCCCTTTCCTACCCAAATTATTCTGCCATTCATGAAGCCTTTGCACTTCTCTACCCCTTTAAGTCTTTCCTGGGATGAGGGTGCAGGGCACAGCTAACAGGCCAACCCCATCTTCCATGACGTCCCCTGATCCCTACCACTTCTTAAAAACAGGTGGGAAATGGTTGACCCAAACCTGCTCTTTGCAGCCCACCACACAGGAAATGGGGAATCTCTCGCCATACACATACCACACCCTCTCCAGACTCTCGCTAAGTTGACTTTTCCCACCTGTCAGCTTCACGGCATCTCGACTCTGCCTTGTCAAAATGACTCCACCTTTGGATTTTTGGGGTTGCTTATGAATAAATGAATCCATATCATATCTGTTACACACAAGGTTCTATTGTACTTAAAAGAAGACATCAACTCTATAAATTAGAGGGAGCGGAAATAATTTATATAAAAAATGAAAAGGACAAAAAACTTACCTTAGTTTAATATCATCACTTGCAAGGGAAGATACAAAACACACGGTAGTATAATCTGTATTTTCCAATATGAGCTTGGAAATGCTAAATGCAATCTACCATTTAGGATAGTATTTTTAATTATAAGCTAAGAGGAGGTTTGTGAAAGTAGTCTGATAGTTTAATTCTTTCTTTCACATTGAAGTATCTTTAAGACTGAACTAACACCTCCTGGGAAAAGCCTGGAAAGCAGCAACACTAACTGATAAAGGCCTCACTACCACGACTATATGGGGCTGGAGGAAACGGAGGTGAAGAAACTGATGGAAAGGTTAGCCCAGCACAAGCACTACATTTAGAGCACACCATTGGCCAAGTTTGTCTGCTGTGAATCAAAGGCAATATGGACACCAGAACCACAGATACAATAAATTATGCTCATGAACTGAAAGCCTTGTTTTGAGAACATATAACTTGCTTTTCTCCAATAGAACTGGCAGTTGGACTAGGCAAAGAAGGCAATTATCTTTCAAAGCAATAAACTTGGCGTTCATATACCAGTAGAGGAGTGCCCCAAGAAATATGTAGTTTTTAAGTAACTCAGCTTCTGGTTGGCTGATAATCTGAAGGGAAGGCAGCATGGTGTTATGGGGGGAAAAATTACATGGGAAGTTAAGGGTTCTAGTCTTTGCTTTGCGTCACAGGTTCTTTACATGCAATACAAGAAAGTTGGACTAGATGACTTATAAGGATTTACACATTTACTTCTGATTCTAAAAGACTACAATGGGAAAATACACCTAAGCAATTATGGAATAGCATCAGTGTAAGAAATTCTGGGAATATATACCCAGATTTACATTAACATTTTAAAAGCTACAAGACTTTGGGATGACCGGTGTTTAAAACACAGAATAGAAAGAAAGAAAAAAAAAAGCTTTTTTCCCCCCAGGAAATGAAAAGCATCCATATATTCAAGAATTTAAAAAATTTTTCTCCATCTGGATCTTTGAAATCCCTTCTCTTACACATTATTTTTAGAAGATAAACTTACATTCGATTTCTATGCAATAATCATTTTGTGTCGCTTGGGCAAAAGGAATGTTATAGATTTTTCCTTTCTCTTTAATTGCATTCAGGAGAAATTAAGGAACAAGTGCTTCCAAGACGGACAAACCATAATTTCTTGGCTTTGTACTCTCACGTGAAAGATTTAAAGTTTCTGGCAGGAAAAAGATTTCTGACGTAAATGGTTTAATACATGACGAAGGAAGATCTGTTTGGGCACATTCTTGATGAGGTAAGTTAAATTAATTTTTCCTTGCTCATATGTTTTTAATATTACATATTGATGTATGCTAGGTAACTTGGCAAAGATACAGGTCATAATGGATACAGAAATTTCTTTAATCAAATAAAATTATGGAAACTACTACATTAGATGTAGATAATACTGTAAGCTAAACAGACTCAGTGACCACTATGAAAAGTGATTATATCTGAAGTTAAAGGAAGTACTATACGGCTATAAATCATCAGGAGAAATTCAGAAAACACTCAGTGCTAGATATTCACTTAACCTACTTTAGCTATGATTTCAGGTTAGAACAGATATTGTTTGATCAAGAATGTTTTATTCCCTAGAATAAGCAAGTTTTAATCCAATTTCATATAGAGGCCTGTGGCTTTTATTTCACTCATATTAATATTTAATATAAAGCATTGTAATGGGATAGAACTCATTATAATTTACTGTTTTTCCAAAGAAGCATACTTTTCTCACAGGTATACAAGAACAGGTATCTTGTTATTCATATGCTAAAGTGTGCAGTTTGATCTATTTAAACATGAAATATCCAATGGGACTTGAATGACCTGTTGCTAAAATTTCCTTGGCCAATTTCTCCACCACAGGCCTTTGATGTATATTGGCAAAATTCTAAATTATATGCCAATTTTAAGTATGGATTCTATTTAAGTGCAACAACTACTTCCTTAGTTAAAAAAAAGAACACTAAAGAATTGCAAAGTATATGAACTAATTTCATAGGTGTACTCTTGATGTCATGCCACAGACATATAACTTTCTCTATTGTAACAGCTCTACAGGTTAGTCTAACAGAGCACCCGACTTTAAGTAACAAACAAACGAACGAACCAGTGAAACAGACGTGGGGAAAGATATGTACATTTTGGAAGTATTACATTCAACAGCTGTTCTACAATCTGGCTATTTTAAGTGCTGTCCAACAATACTGTTAATCCAGGTGAACTATTTAACCAGATTTAATAGTCAATTGATTAATAATAGATTCCAAGTTAAACAAGGCATGTATACATTAAAGAAAGCAGTACAGAAATGTACTGTATATGAACTGTTTACAAAAACATACAAAATGTTGGATGGCACAAGGGATACAGTGCTAATATAAACGGATTGTTTAAGCTAAGTGCTTAACAGAAACTGTCCATCCCTATAACTAACAAAGAATATTTAAGGGACATGAAATATTTTCTATAAAAATAATGCTATATGGTGTAGAGTACTTGATTCAGTGTATTTTTTAGGTGGTATTCATATGTTCATTCTTCTTATTGATTCAGTGAATATATCTTCATCATGTTTCCATTTCCATTTCATCCGAAGCTCCAGGAAAATCTAACTTGCTAACAATCATGTAAAGCGAGAAGAGATGAAAGCGGGAGCAGCAGCAGGAGCAGCAGCATTATGGGTACCAGCTGGGACAGTGTGTGCTTGCAGGTGTCTCTCAGATATGTGCTACCTGTCGCCAGAACTTGTGCTATCAGCTTACACCATGGTACCAAATATTTCACTGAGGTTATTTCACAGGGCTGTGGAGGTGATTTTTTTAATACCTCTTCGCTGAGCAAGAGTAGAGCGGCCTACTGGTTCCAAAACTGGTGACTGATTACGGTTTAAAGCAGAATAGGTAGCTGCCATGGCACCCTGAAAACAGGAAAGAAATATCAAAACAGAAATGACAATGGGTAGTCATGTACACAGAGCATGAAATGAACATTTCCCGCCAGATAATTTCTTCACTAGCAAACACAGATTTTATTAGCCTCATCATAAAAATAACCACACTGGCCAAACTCCCTGATTTAACTGAAATGGAAGACGCCAATGTGGGAGGCTGAAATAATGGGTGAGAAGACAGGGATGGGCTCATAGCAAGCAGTCCTCACTTTTCTCAGCACTGTTCAATTTTTTCCCTTTGCAATCTTTATTCTCAGAGGCAGTCAAGCATGCTCTTTTGGAACTTGTAGTTTGCTTTGGGTTGTGCATAAGAGAGGAAAGTATAAAGAAAATAGGAAATCCGTAAGCTTAGCTGATAGATAAATTCAGAAATGTAGAGGTCTTTCTTTAAATATATATATATTTTATTGATTTTTTACCGAGAAGGAGAGGATAGAGAGTTAGAAACATTGATCAGCTGCCTCCTGCACACTCCCCACTGGGTATATGCCCGCAACCAAGGTGCATGCCCTTGACCGGAATTGAACCCGGGACCCTTGAGTCCGCAGGCCGATGCTCTATATACCGAGCCAAACTGGCCAGAGCATAGAGGTCTTTCTTAAACTAGATTTATTACAACACTTCGGCACAGCTTGACTTTTTCTTTTCTAAATCACCCACTGTAAGAGAATCCCACAGGAGAACTGATCGCAGGCTGAGGGGCAGTGACTGGTGCAGGTGCTGCGCCATGGAGAGGCATCTCAGTCTCTCTGAGAGGACACGTGGAAAAAGGGGCCTGGATGGGGCTGCTCACCTTGACCAGATGAGGTGCATCCTGTCTGTTTAGTTGGTATTGTGGCAGTTGGTCCCAGTGGACTATCCAAGGGTGTCTGAGCACAAGGGCAGCAGTCAATCTCTGATGAGGATCCACATGAAGCATCTTTGACACCAGGTCCTATAATGAGAATAATAATAATAATAATAATAATAATAATAATGGAAACTTAAACCTTTTTGTCTGATTTTCTTTTATAGCACTAGATACTGTTGAGCATTTTTCCTAATTATGACAATATTTTTTCCTGGTAGTAGGTAGACCTTTTGGGCTCAAAAAGATAGGGGGAAGGGCATGTAATAAGAATAGGACCACAGTTGCTTAACGATTATTTATCTTACTAACTAAAAAGGTTTTCTTACAGACCTTGGGAAACTGGAGGATTTGCTGAAAAAAAAAAAAAAACCCACAAACATTCAAAAAGCAAGAATAGAAAGTGCTTTGACTTAGTTGCTGTGCCCAGACTCTGGCCCCCTCCGGGTGCTTTCTTAGGAATTTGACTATTCTCTGGTCCCAGGAAGGGGCTGAGCTGTTTGTAACTTTATAGATTAGCCACCTTGTTATCAGACTTGGAGCTCCTGAAGGTCAGACTGCAGTAGCTATCCTCCTCTTCCCTATATAACTAGCCAGCTGGCAGAAAAAGGCAGATCGGAATTTTTAGGATGACCTGCTGCTCTGCCCATACTGTCGGCAGTATTAGAATAAACACTCATATATGATTCAGCCCTGACTCTGCTTAATTTGGTTCAAGTACTGACAGGTGGCCTCAGACCTGTTTAGTGTCCAGTATCAAAAACAATTAATTTGCCGGGACCAGTTTGGCTCAGTGGATAGAGCGTTGGCCTGCGGACTGAAAGGTCTCGGGTTCGATTCCGGTCAAGGGCATGTACTTTGGTTGCGGGCACATTCCCAGTAGGGGGTGTGCAAGAGGCAGCTGATCGATGATTCTCTCTCATCGATGTTTCTAACTCTGTCCCTCTCTCTTCCTCTCTGTGAAAAATCAATTTAAAACAACAACAACAACAATTATTTGGTCAACAGGACAATTTGTGTTTTGTTTATTTATTTATAATACATTTTTATTGATTTCAGAGATGAAGAGAGAGAGAGAGAAACAACCATGAAAGAGAATCATTGATCAGCTGCCTCCTGCATGCCCCCTACTGGGGATCGACCCTTCAATCCAGGCATGAACCCTTGAGTAGAATCGAATCAGAGGCCCTTCAGTCCACAGGTCGATGCTCTATCCACTGAACCAAACCAGCTAGGGCTGTATTTTTTTTTTTAAAGGAAAAACCTAAATCTCTCCTTTGAGTGACAATAATTTTAGTGCATTATAAAGGGTAAATTACTATATTTTACATATCTTCTGTTTTTTGGCTCCTTTTTCCCCTTAGATATTCTGAGGTTTCTACATTTTGGTAGGTTTATTTCTAAGTGATTTTTTAGCCCCATAAGACTTTTTTTTGTACTGTTGGTAATACTGAAAAGCAGAACTATTCAATAACATTAATTTAATTAGAGTTCTAAATGCCTCTCCTAAGATTACAGAATTATATTTTTTTCTTACTTTAAAAGCAACTCATGGGCATTATAGAAAAATACAAAATACAGAGAAGCAAAAGTACATAAATACCCAGAATCCTACTCTTCCAGAGACAAATGCTTTCTATCCAGCCAAATGCTTTCCTATGCCTGAAACACAGATCCATATAATTGCTATATAGTTTTATACTCTCTAAAAGAACACAATTGTGATTTATTATAAAAGCCATGCACTACTTGTTTCATTTTTTTTTTAAAGTATGTGTTTTTTTTTTTTTTAGAGAGGAAAAACTGTGTCTATTGCACATCCCCCTCCCCACTGGGGATCAAACCTGCAATTCAGGTAAGTGCCCTGGCTGGGAATTGAACCAGCGACCTCGGGGTACATGGTACAAAGTTCAACCAACTGATCCACACCGGCCAGGACTTGTTTCATTTTCATTCAAAATATATATATTGAGGATCCATCAAAGGCCAGGCATTCTGCTAGGCGTTGGGTATTTAACAGTGAACAAGACAGAAAGGAACTGTGACCTCAACAAGCTTTTAGCCCGGAGAGGGAATCAATAACCAAGCAAAGAGTAAGTGCTTTGATGGGATGAATAAATGTGAGGTGCAGCTGGAGGACACACAGAGAGATCTGACCTGAACAAGGCAGGTGGCTTTGAAGTAACTCCTTTAGAGAAATGTGAGACCTGAAGGATAGGCAGGCGCTGGATTAGAGAAGGAAGGGAGAAACAGTGTTTCAGGGAGGTAGAACTAAGTGTGTGTGAGGGAAAGCCCTCAGGTGGGAGAAAACACGTCACATTAAGGAACTGAAAAGAATGCGATGTGGCTGCAGCATATATCGTAAAGGAAAACATGGCAGCAGATAAAGTGAGAGAGGTAAGATAGGACCAGATTGTGCAGGTCCTTATAAGCCATAGTAGCAAATATGGACTTTTTCTAGAGGCAATGAATCATTTAAAACAAAGGAGTGATGCAGTCAGGTTTGTACTTCAGAGTGATTACATTCACTAAGTGTGGAGGAAAATGGATTGGAGGGGGCAAGCCTGGAGATTCCAATTTGAGACAGGTGAGAGATAATAGTTTGGTGAGTGGATATAAAAGATGGAGAAATATAGGTGAACTTGAGATAGTTGAGAGAACTGACAGAACCTGGATATTGGGAATTGGGGAGATACTATTTCAAGTACTCTGCTAGTAGATATTTATAGTTTCTTACTTTTATAATAGTTATCATTAACAGCTAAGAACAGGAATAAATGAATGGAATTTTACATAAAAAGCAAAATAACTAGGGATCTCCTTTTCCAAATTCTGAATGAGGGCAAGTGTGCTTTAAATGAAGAAAAGGTTGCAAAACTGCACAGAAGCACAACACAACTCTATTATAATTTTACTCAGATGAGTGTGTTAACCAGTGCACTTTTGGACAAGTCACTTAGAATCACTTTTACCGCTACCTTCAATAGCTCCTCCTCCTAAGCTTTTTCTTTAAATGAATTCCTTCCATGGCTCTCTTATCCCTCTGCTCAGATAAGCTCATTCATGCTCATGGTTTAGCTACTACAGATGATGACAACCCCTAAACTCAATGCCCATCCCAGACTTCTCTGGTTAATCTACATCCAGATAGCCAGTTGCCTAGTTCAGCAGTTGCCAACCTTTCGGAGCTCATGGGTCACTGGTTGGCGACCGCTGCTCCAAAGCTTTCCTTAAACCAGCGGTTGCTAACCTTTCAGATCTCACAGATCACCGCTAGCCTATATATCTCTTAATTATACATCACAAAAGCATTTCAAATTATAATGTACAGATCTGCAATCGTCACTCCTCTGAAAACTACTTCCTTTGTATTCCACATCTTGGTGAAGGACGCCACCAACTGCTTATTTCCTGAGGTGGAAATGTGGACTGCACACTTGATATCTGCTCCTCTGTTCTTTCTTATGTCCGATATATAAGAAACTATTATGTCTCCTAAGTTTGTCTTCCATTTGACTCAAATCCTATTACAACTGTTCTGGTTTTCTCATCATTCATCACCCCAAATACTGCAAAACCTTATATGTAATCTATAATAATAAAAGTGTAATATGCTAATTAGACTGGACAGTTGAATGATCTTCTGAACGTCTTTCCAGACGAAACCGTGGTGGTGGGGGGCCGAGACAGAGGTGGTTAGAGAGGATGAGGCAGGCAGGCGAATGGTTAGGAGCCAGTGGTCCTGAATTGTGAGAGGGTGCAGGCTAGGCTGAGGGACCTCCCCACCCCTGTGCATGAATTTTGTGCACCAGGCCTCTAGTACCATTGTAACAGCATTTGTGACACTAGTTGGCTGTTTCCCAACTAGACTGTGAACGCCTTGAGAACAGGAATTCTGAGTCATATCTTTTATCTCTGGAGCCTACCTTATTAAGCACACTGTAGATGTTGAACACGTGTATTAAAAAAGAAACAAGTACCCAGAAAAATGAAATTTTCTGATTTAAGGAATTTTATTGTTAAAAAGGAAAAGGTTAACATTTCATTTTTAAATGCAGTTATAAAACCAAATCAACTCAAGTCCCACCTCTAAGAAAAACCAGCAAAACACTTTTACTAGTATTTATCTTCTTTGTCTCCTCTATGTTTTTATTTTGAAGTGAAAAAAAAAGAGAATTTTCAATAGAGAGTGAAACTAGAGAAGAGGTAGAAACCAAGTCAGTGTTATTCAAGGGATGGAATATCTTCCATTGAGAAAAGCTTTTCAAATGGATTTCCAGCGGGCACTAGAAAACTATACTATTGTTCACTGTGAAAAAGATAAGATCCCATTCTCTATAATATAAACCAAAACTAAAACATGGTAGTTTATTCTAGGGGTGAGGGCTTTGGAATCAGCTACTTACTTTGAAGCGCCCCCATGTATCTGGTATGTAACTATGGACAAGTTCACACTACAATTCTGGGCCTTGGTTTCCTTCTGTGAAATGTTGTTAAGAGGATTAAATGGCTATTTAGGTGAAGTGCAGCGTGCAGCATGAAGTACAGAGTAGACACATAAATCATGAAGACTACTACTATTATTTATCATGTTCCTCAGCAAGAAGTAACTTTAGATGTATAGATAACAAAGCCAAAACAATGCCTTTTGGGAAAGAAACAAAATAACTGGTCCATTTTGAGTTCAAGTTATTTGGTAACATCACTTAAAAATACTACTTTATAATCAAGTTTCTAATTGATATTATTTATTCTCACCAAGAATTATGAAAAATTACCTTTGCAGTATCTGAAACAGAATTCCAGTAACCACCACTGAGTGAGAATTTTCCGCTGCCGATGCGTGCCAGTATTTCCTCTGGTGTATCGTCAGGGCCATTTGCAAATGGAGTGTAACTAATTTATAAGAAAAATTAAAATGCTAATTAATAAAATTTCTTTTTTGGATGATAATCTTTATATTTATTTGCAGTGGCCAAAAGTACTCTGAGTAATTCAATTAATGTAATACTTGCTCCACAAAGCACCAGATTAAGGTATGTTATGAAATATTCATTAGACTTGATATAAAAAACAAATACTTTAAGATATGACACATTATAGAATAAAATGTTTAAAACAGGGCATGTTTATGATATAACAAGAGTGGAAAAAGGTATGGAAAAATCAATTTAAGACCTCAAAGACATTAATAAATAGTACATTATAGAAAATTAGTAATGATATAGCTTTAAATGTGGTATATATAGTACATACAAGATTATATTATTAGAAAATGACAAAACCATAAAAATATATTACAACTAAGGTTAAAAAATAAAGATAATATAAACAAAGTATTGATTAATAAATGCCTATAACATATATAATATATACCTACCCAGTAAGCATTGTATAGAGGAGGACACCAAGACTCCATATATCACAAGCAGCATCATAGCCTTGTCGTTTCAAAACCTCGAAAAAGTAAAAATTAGTATTAAACACCACTCTTTATTATATAGATTTAGATAGGTTATGGGGATGGGAATATATCTCCTAAATCAATACAAGTAAGAAAAGCCCCCTGGCTGGGTAGCTCAGTTGGTTAGAGCAAGTTTTGGGGTTTAATCTCTGGTTAGGGCACATACAAGAGACAACATATGAATGCATAAATAAGGACAACAACAAATCCATGTTTCTCTTTTCTCTCTCACTTGCTCTCCCTCACTCCCTCTCTCTTCCTCCCTCTCTCCTCTAAAATCAGTAAATTAAAAAAAAAAACCTCAACAGAACATAATTAACAAACAAGACAATATATTAATTCTACTCTAGAACCTTCTACTACTAACAATTCATATACATACTAGAGGCCCAGTGCATGAATCTGTGCACAGGTGGGGTCAGGCCGGCCTGCCCCAATGCGGGGGAAGGACATGGAAAGTTGTTCCAGTTGTTCCATTGTTCCGGTTGACTTATATATATGTATAGATATAGAATAGGAGTTAAATGAACATTTATTGAATGCTGCCTTGGCACATAGAGAACTATGAAGGGAAGTTTCTTATTTAAATGAATATATATTTTGTATGGGGCTATAGAAATGGTTAAAAAAATCAGTACTTTTAAGACCACATATAACAGCACAAATGATATAGTGTGAAACTGTGTGTGTATATATACTAGTACACACAAGATCGTATTATTAGAAAATGACAAACCCATAAAAATACATTACAACAAAGGTTAAAAAATATGTATATGTATGTGTGTGTGTATGTGTATATATATTATATATACAAGTGTGTAATATATATATATATATATATATATATATATATATATATATATATATAATTTGGTTCACTCAAGCATTTAATAATCACCAACTATAATCAGTCACAAACTGTGACAATCCAAAACAACTCTGGTTTCCTTAAGAAAATTAGAATCTGGCAGGCAAATAAACATACAGGCTGGGGCAAAAGTAGGCTTACATTTGTTCGTATGGCAAATAATACTATAATTAATAAATAATAATACAAAATAAACTCTGTTGTATGTACTCACAACTATAACCTACTTTTGCCCGACCCTGTTTTGTAGTTAACAATTCAACATAATAAATATCATACAAGTATGTCTAAAATGTTATGGGTATCAAGATGAGGAAACAACTCATTGTTGATATGAGGAAAGAAGAAAGGCTAGGGGGCAGCCTGCTTGTACTGTGCCTGTAAGTAAGAATTCAGGAGGCAAAAGGAAGATGTGGGGGAGGACAGAGGACACGCAAAGGCAGAGGCAAGAGAGCAGAGTATAGTTAGCAACAGTTCTCTATGGCCAGATCTCCAGGTAGGGAATAGTAGAGAGACTGAAGGGATTTTATACACAGGTTGCTAAGGAATTTAGATTTTTTTCTGTAGGCAATCAGATGTCATTGAAGCATTAAACAGGAAAATAAAATAAGGAGATGTGTATACCAGAAACAACTCAAGGTATAGAGGAAACGCTGGCAAGAAAAAAGACTGGGGACAAGGCGACCCGAAAGGAAGCAATTTATAGCCAACTAAGTGAAAGGCTGTGAGGAATTGCACTATTAGAGATTGGGTATATAGAGTAAGGGAAAAAGGCCTGAAATATTTAGAAAACAAAATGGAAAGGATTTGGTAACAAGACTGGATGGAGAAAAATGATAAGGAGGCTTTACGGAAGATTCCAAAGTTTTAACTTGGATGACAAAATGGAGAATAGGAGACAAAGAATTAAAAGATCAAGTCTAAGGAGAGTTTAATCATGGACAATATCCTGAAGATGAATTTGGAGGTAGGTTTTGAAGCAAAAAATATTCCAATAAGCCCAGGTATAAATAACAGCTACAGGGTGATTTCTAGAAGAAGATTGCTTGCATGCAGTAGGAAATACGAGGAAAAACAAGATGGCTAGATTAAGTGGCCTTGCTTGGACACCAATATGTAATATCACTGCATAGCAAAAGCACAGACTTTGCAGCCAGACAGCCTGGGCTCAAATGTAAACCTGACCTCCAGCAAATTACATAACCTTCTCGCTGCGCACCTAGCTTCCTGTAAAATGCTGATAACAGTACTCACCTCACAGTTATAATGAGAATGGAACTACATGTGGTGAGGATGAAATTAGTTAATATATGTGCCTGGCACATAAGCCCTATATTAAGATTTACTATTATTTTCTATTATCTTGTACATGGTTACTTTTTTTTGTTTTTTTAACGCAGTGATAAAGATAAGACATTTTGAGGGCAAAGCAGTGGATTTTAGATTTACTGCAATGGGGAACTGCAATTTCTTAAGAAAAGCAGCAGCTTGATCAAAGCAGTGCTTGAAGACTTCAGTAGCTTTGCAGCTCTCTTGTGGAATGATCGCAGAATGACAAGAGGGAGCAATGTGCACCGAGGCTGAGGCAGTCACCTGAGGGGTGGTGAGGGAAGCAGGGGTTAGGGTGGCATTTCTGTGGATAGAAGAACCCTAAACTGGTTTCAGGGGTTAAGAAATGGTAACTAGTTATGTAGCTAAGGACAAGATGAGACCATGTATGATGTTTTAGCCTTGGAGATGCAGAAGATAGTAACAAAACCAGGGAATTAGAACTCTATTAGGAAAGGTGTAAAATAAGTGAGTTTCTATTTAGTTCCATGGACCAATAGGCACAAAAGTGATAACAGATAGCTACGGATACAGAAAAACACAAGTCAGGGCAGGAAGAAGGATTATAGGTAGCAGACTGATGATACAATAGACTATCAACAGGAGAAAAAGGATTACTATTTTATTCTAATTTTTTGTTCGGTAAGTCTTCAATTAAACAGCTATTAATTATTCTATATTAAATACAGAAAATGAGTTTTTAAATATACTAAAATATTGTAAGCAAACTATTTCATAATTACCTCTGGTGCAACAAAATTTGCAGTATAACAAGGTGTCATGAGAAGACCGTTTTCTGCTCTTAGCTGTTTGGCAAAGCCAAAATCACAAATTCGAATAGATTCTGGATTGCCAGATTCATCCACATAAAGAATGTTGCTAGGTTTTAAGTCTCTGTGAACCACCTAAATAAAATACAAAATAAAGAGATACATTTACAATACATTTCCATTATAGAAAATTTTTTATTCAAAACTATCAGGGACTACACTTAACAAGATAATGAATGCTGGCCTTCAAATTATCCCATCTTTATAAAATGCTGATAATGTAAGTGTAACTCTAACACAGAACTAGAGCAAAGAGAGAAGAAAGAAAGTAGTATTTATCTCCCCCTTTTTTTCCAATTGAGTAAGTGGGTTAAGGAGAAATGGAAATAGCAATAATATCTGTCTCCAGGTTATTCATTCATGAAACAAACATTTATTGAGTGCCTATAATGTGTCGGGGCATTATATAAGGAGTTGCACATATTATGGCGAAGAAGACCCATACATTCTTGCCTTTACATGCTAGGAGCTTACACGGTAGTGGGGAGGCAGAGAATAAATAGGTGAGAGATGGGGCATAACTAGGGAGGTCAGGGAAGGTCTCTAGAGAATGTAACATCTGGTTTAAGTTCTTTAGAACAGAACAAGCCAGAAGAGTGTCTTCCTGATTGCCCCTAACCACTTCTGCCTGTGGTAGAACAGCATTCTAAGTAGAGGGAACAGCATGTACAATGGTTGTACACAACAAACTTGTGCTAACATGCTCCATGGATCAGGCATAGGGTTTAGGAGTAAAAAGGAAAAAATAATTCAGTCTTTATGTATTCCCTATTTGCTATCCATGCAACAATGTCTGACACACACACACACAAACACACTCCTTTAGAGTTTGTATTATTTTCTTCCTTTAATCACCTACTTGTACACTTTTTTCATAAGCCTCTCTGACACTCCTATTTAGACTTATGTGTTTCTTCCATCATCAAATTCCAAGTCTACATTCTGATCAATGACTTCAGTTTTAATTCCTAACATCCTGAACATGACTTCTCCAGATCATTTTAATAACTTCTTACCACCAAGGCACTGAGAAGAAAACTTAGAAGACTTAGATGACTGAAAAGTCATAAATTCTCAAGGAACATTGAATTTTACTAATTTATGGCTACAGTACTAAGTGACTTTTGACCAGTCAGAAGTCAAGAGGTTCTAGTATTAAATCAAAAACAGTCTACGTGTTCACTTCTTGGGGGCAAAGACAAACACAATGAGAATAAGTAGTGAACATGAACTCCTCCATGTGGCAAAGACAAACACAATGAGAATAAGTAGTGAACATGAACTCCTCCACGTGGCTTGGTGGTTGACTTATGAACCAGGAGGTCACTGCTTCAATTCCTGGTCAGGGCACATGCCCAGGTTGCAGGCTCAATCCCTGACAGGAGTGTATGTAAGGGGCAGCTGATGGATGATTCTTCTCTCATCATTGATGTTTCTATCTCTCTTTCCAACTCTCTGAAATCCGTAAAAAAATATATTAAGAAAAGAAAATAAACTCCTTAAAAGTAATCCCTTATTTTTTTTTCTTGCTTCTCATTCCTCTTCACCTCTCCTGTTCTTTTCCTTTCTCCCTTCATTTTCTCCTCTCCCCCAATCAATTTTCCTTCTTTTATAAACATTATTTTTATCCTATTTACTGATAACCTGCAGGAAGGAATGAGGACAGCATCCACCTGCCAGAAGCCAGGTGACTATTTGGCTTCATCCATTTGAATACAACTCACAATTCTTTAGTTCTATTTCCAAATGTGAAATGGGCCCAGTTCTCAAGAATACAGAGTGGTCTAGCAAAATGATGCTATATCTTCTAGTTTAGAAGATCTTATCCACATTTTGTTTGGATGTGTAAGAATTTAATATAAACAAGCTAGGATTTCAAAGTATCACTTCAAGCTTAATGGGGAAAATAGTAGGATAATTAATAATCGTTATTTTCCATTACATGGATAAAGTAACTTCTACCTTTGTAATTTTAGCTCAAACATAAAGGAAAAAGATATTAATGTGTGTGTACTTATATGTATGTGTGTGTGTGTATGTATATATATACACTTAAGATGTTAAAAAGACTTACCCCTTGAGCATGAAGATATTCCACAGTTTTGGTTATAGTAAACAGGACAGCACTGGCCTCTCGTTCAGAGAAAAATTTCTGTCTAAGAATTTTATCCAGCAATTCACCCCCTTTCATAAGTTCCGTTACTACATACACGTATTTTCCATCATCATATACCTATAAAATTCAACACCAAAATGTAAAAAAAAATTATTTGAAGCTTTACATGTGCTCAGAACAAAGTTTTGCATATTAAAGAAAAATTATAACTTACCTTATGTTCAAGGAAATTTTTACTTATCACAACCAATGGAAGGTATAAAATTTTGTAAAGTTTTATACAAGTAGACTATTAAAATAGGAATTGATGAGATTGAATGTCAGAAAAATAACTTGTAATTTCCTTCTATGAAACTTAATTCATGGAAATAAAAGTAACTATGGACATTGTATACAAAGGGGCACTGAATTTTTGCACTTAGGGTTTGTTCCTCTTGATCTTTCTATCTCCTGGTGAGGGCAGGGATCGCTACAAAGACATACTCCTGTGATTTTCCTGGAACTTCTGCAAGTGCACACATTCTATATTTATATACACAGTACAATGAATTATTCTGGTTTGGGTTAAATTGAAAATTTAGTAGGAAGATTGCATAGCAAAGAGAAATTCCAGCCAACTACCCAGAAGCACACAATTTTACTCCTAATGTAGAAACTGAATGCTCTCTATAATTTTGGATTTATATTCCAAGCAATCCTGAATTGAAATAACCTCTTTATTAAACTTCAATCCCTTTTATTTCCCCTTCATCACAGAGTTACTGCATACCTTTATTTAGCCTCAAAAGAGGTACCAGGTACTGGGGCCCTAAATATGGAAAAAATAAAACAAAGTACCTGCCCTCAAAGTTTTTATTCCAGGAGGGAGAAATAGATATAGATATAAAAATTTAAAAAATGTTGGAGATGCTGTAATAAAAGAGGGGACATTTTAGAGACTTTGGAATTTGAAATGAGGGAAGAAGCAAAGATGTAAAAGTAATGGAGCACCATCAGTTGGAGCACCATCCTGCATGTCAAAAGGTTGTGGGTTTGTATCCTGGTCAGGGCACATATTTAGCTTGCAGGTTCCATCCCTGTTCTGGGCTCATATGGGTAGCAACTGATAGATGTTTCTCTCTCACACTGATCTTTCTTTCTGCACCTCCTCTCTCTCTAAAAAACAAATCAATAAAAAAACATATCCTTGGGAGTGAAGATTAAAAAAAAAAATGACAGCTTAGGGAGTTTCCAAAGCAAAGATGAGCGAAAGTATCTTTTATACTTCCTTTTTAATTTACTTGGTTGGATTAGAGGTTACAGTAATTAAAAAGTCACTTAGGTTAAACAGCTTCATATGTTATTTATCATCTATCTATCTACCTACCTACCTATACTTTTTTTTATTCATTTCAGAGAGAGGAAGGGATAGGAGAGATAGAAACACCAAAGATGAGAATCATTGGTTGGCTGCCTCCTGCATGCCCCCAATGGAGATTGAGCCCGAAACTCAGGCATGTGCCCTGACTGGAAGCTGAACCTTGAACTCCTGGGTCATGAGTCAACACTCAATTACTGAGCCACACCAGCTAGGTAAATTTTTTTGTTTTGTTATTACTTACCAGAAAATATTTTTTCCACTGCTTTTCAAAGAGAATGGAAGGGAGGGAGAATAGGACAGAGTGAGAGAGAGAGAGAGAGAGAGAGAGAGAGAGAGAGAGAGAGAGACAGAGAGAGAGAGAGAGACAGACAGACAATGACTGTTTATCTCCAGCATGTGCCCTGACCAGAGGACAGGGAGCAAACCTGCAACCCAGGGACCTACCCTTGATCAGGAATCAAACCCATGATCCTTAGGTGTGCAGGCTGCCACTCTAACCACTGAAAAACACCAGCCAGGGCAAACAGCTTCACATTTTAATGGAACTAAGTTAACATTCCCCTTCTAACAATGAGCAGTGAAAAATTATTCCGAGGAAATTGGAATTTTGGTTTGAAAGGAGAAGGGAGGGTAAAGTTTGGAATTCACAAAATCTCACAGGTGAAAGGTGAAAGGTTCCTCAGAAGTCCTCTGGCTCAGCTGGCCACATGACATCTGGTCTACAGCAATCAGATATGGCCTTTGAGCCTATATGACTACCATCAGCAAGAGAGGACTTAATGCTGCCTGGGGGAATTCACATCCTTTGTCACGAGCTCTGTTATGATAAAAGTCATAGGTAATAGGGCCATAGCTGGTTTTGCTCAGTGGATAGAGCATTAGCCTGTAGACTGAGGGGTCCTGGGTTCGATTCTGGTCAGGGAAACATGCCCAGGTTGTGGGCTTGATCTCCAGTACTAGTACGGGGCATGCAGGAGGCAGCTGGAAAATGATTCTCTTTCATCATTGATGTTTCTTTTTTTTAAATATATATTTTATTGATTTTTTACAGAGAGGAAGGGAGAGAGATAGAGAGCTAGAAACGTCGATGAGAGAGAAACATCGACCAGCTGCCTCTTACACACCTCCTACCGGGGATGTGCCCACAACCAAGGTACAGGCCCCTGACAGGAATCGAATCTGGGACCTTTCAGTCCACAGACCAATGCTCTACCACTGAACCAAACCGGTTTAGGCTCATTATTGATGTTTCTATCTTTCTCTCCTTCTCCCTTCCTCTCTGAAATCAATTAAAAAAGTCATTGGTAGCAGAAAGGGATGCTTCATTTGTCCTGTGGGTGGTAATGGTCAGGGCAGGCTTCCTGGGAGAAGTAATGCTTTAGCAAAGCCAAGTAAAGGAAGAAGATGGTGTTTTCAACTGAGAGAACCATAAATTCAATGACAGGGCAGCACGAGAAAATGAGGTATGTTAAAAAATTTGGATATCCTGCAGCATGGCTGGAGCATAGAGGGTATGAGGAAGTGTGCAAACTACTATGGATGGAGGAAGGCAGGGGCCAGAGGTGATGAAGGGTATGAACTGTAGGCAGGAAAGTAACATGATTAGATATGAGTGCAGTTCTCCATGGCAGTACTGTGAAAAACAGTTTGGGGAATCCATGGAGTGTGTGATACTAGTCAATCTTGAACATTAATGAATACTCAAATGTTACAGTTAATGCAGATATTAAAACCAATAATGTCAATAAAAACCTTTCTTTTTATCACAAAAGTAGAAATATTAACTATATAAATGTATTTTTCTTAATAACTAAAATTATGTTATATATGTTGTGCTGCAATCTGTTTTTGTTTACTATATTCAGTTATTTATCTACCACATGATTTCTGTAAATAATCCAGATTCAAGTTAGACAACTGATTCAAATTTCTACATTAAAGAAACTACTTACATCCTTTAGAGTAATAATGTTTGGATGCTGTCCATAACGAAGAAGAATTTCTATTTCCTCTGTTGGGTCTCTCTTGCTTTTATCAATAATCTAAAAGGCAAATGACAATTACAAAATCTCATGAACTCTACAGTTATAAACCTTAAGTATTTATAGCTACAGACAATGGGTAGCATTATATGTAAACATTATATGTATGTGTGTGTGTGTGTGTGTGTGTATATATACACACACACACACACATACATACACACACACACATACTAGTTTTACTCAAATATCTGGCCAGATTGTCTAATCAAAATTCAAAACCCAGTCTTGGATGTAGATTACAAAGCTGTAAACTCTATGCCCAGAATCAGATTTCCACCAGGTCTCTCTAGTTTAAGTGTGCAGTAAGTTAGGACTTACTAAAACTCAAAAGCTTCAAGAAAAGGTACCAAGAACACAGTTAACCTTTTTCTTTCATCCTTAAACATCTTAAACTTTGGGAAACTCAGTCAACGTCTAAGTCTGTCAACACAGATAGCAATATATACAAGGTGCCCCCAAAACATGTATACACACTTTAACAGCTGATAGCTCAATTGATGTTTCTTTCTTTTTAGCCAGACTAAGTTTTGAACAAAGGAATTGTATCCCAAAATGCTACTGGAAGTTTAAAAATGAAGTTGAAGTACAAATTATTCAAAGTGTACATACATTTTTTGGGGACACAGATATATATATATCAGCACTACTAGCATCTGTGTATTCAATTTACTAATTTACTTTCCTTCCTTTAATAAAATGCTTCAATGGAATATCCCATTAGTTGTAAGCTACTTATAAAAATTAATTAACAGTTCAGTAGAGCAAGATTATTTTTGAAGCTAGGCAGAAAGCTAAGCAGAAAACCACACCTAAAATTTTACTTGGCTAGAATCAAGTTTAATTATTATAATAAAGCCCTTTAAAATATTAATGTAGCTTTCCAACCCTTTTATGTTGGCTGCTTCTTAAAAATACTTCTCTTAATGTTTTAATGTAAAGTAATATTGCTAAATAAGGTTTGCTTTCATTTCATCCAAAAGGCAGTTGGAAATAAATTTTGTGACCTTATTTTCTTTCTTTTCTTTTTTTTTCATGTATAGGGTGTAATATTACAGGAAGGCCATAGTATCCTGCCACCTGTAGAGAGTAAGCCCAGTTGCTTTTGGATGTGTTATACACAGAGGAGCCACTCTTCAAGCACTCTGCTCTCTTCACACCCAACTTATTTTCAATTTTAAAACTGCAAAGTAATTAATGTATGCAATAAACACCCAAATGCTCTAGCAACGTAGCTTGCAACTCTCAACATGAGCTAAATATGCTATTTGAAATGGACTTAGTTGTAAAATGGTTCTATGGTTGGAAAACAGGGAAGACAGACATATAGGTGTCCACTGCAATTGATTGTAAATAATAGTGTGGAATTAGGCAAATGGATGATTAAGAGGAAAAGTATATGGAATAGACATGCTAATTCAAGGGATATGTCCTGGGGTTAGTCTTCTGAGAACCAAAACATATAGGAAGTGTTATTTTTGGCAACATTCTGATCTGCTAATCTGAGCCCAGCTCACATTAAATCCATACTTATGCTTGTGGATCTTAGCTTTGCAGTAATTTCACTAGAATCAAGTTGTGCTGGGATTGGTTTTATGATTCTAATTTAAGCTACAATAATCCCACAAATAGTTTCAAGATAATCTCAAGGTTTTGGTATACAGCTACCAGTTTCTGTAATTCAAAGGGGGCATCAGGACATTTTTGCTTTTTTCTTATGTGTTTATGGAGGCAAGGTACATTCTTAAACTGTCTACAAAGTACATTATTCACTGTATCTTCTTTCATGTAAGTAATTTGAAAATTTCTATGTGTCCCAAATTTCATTATGAGCAATGAGTATATAAGCAAATTAAAATGTATTTCTGGTTTATCTTTATAGCTGACAAAAAGCCTTATATACAATGATGTTTTTTAAAAGCAATTAGATATAAGTTTAGAATAGTAAATAATTTTTGTGTGTATATGTCTTCTCAGATAATTGCTATCTACACTAATAAAAGAGTAATTTGCTAATTAGACTGGGAGACCTTCTAGAGACCTTCTGGACAAAGCAGGGGGCTTGGCTGGCCTGCAAACCACCCCCAAAAGGACCTCAGCCCCTCACCCAGGCTGGCCACGCCCCCCCAGCGGGGACCTTCAACCTGATTGGGGCATGGCCAGCCTGCAAATGGCCTTCAGCCCCTTGCCCAGGCTGGCCCCATCCACTAAGGGGACCCCCACCTTGACCCGGGACTCCCTTCAGGACAGACCAGCTGGCCTCCACCTGTGCACAAGGCCTCTATCTATACTAATAAAAGGGTAATATGTTAATTAGGCTGGGAGACCTTTTTGGATATCCTTCTGGACAAAGCCATGGTGGTGGGGCTGAGGCAGAGGCAGTTAGGGGTGATCAGGCCAGGAGGGGAGGGCAGTTGGGGGTGATCAGGCTGGCAGGGGGCAGTTGGGGGGCAAGCAGGATGGCGGAGGGGGGAGGAGTTGGGGGTGAGAAGGCCTGTGGTGGGGCAGTTGGAGGACACGCAGGCCAGAAGGTAGAGTGGTTAGTGGCAAAGCAGGCAGGCAGGTGAGCAGTTAGAAGCCAGCAGACCCAGATTGCAAGAAGAATGTCCCGACTGCCAGTTTAGGCCCAATTCTACAGGGATAAGGCTGGCAAGGGGAAACAGTTGGAGCAAGACAGTAGGACATCCCCCGAGGAATTCCAGATTAGAGAGAGTGCAGGCCAGGCTGAGTGACATCCCCCCTTCCCCGTGCACGAATTTCATATGCTGGGCCACTAGTTTATAACAATAAAAGTGTAATATGCTAATTAGACTGATCGTCCTTCCAGATGTCTTTCCAGCCGAAGCTGAGGCGGGTGGGCAGGGTCTGAGGCAAGGCAGAGGTGGCAGAGGCCCTGGTGGCTGAGGGCTGAGGCTGCCGATGCAGCGGCAGGGGCTGAACCCCTTGCATAAATTTAATGCATTGGGCCTCTAGTGACATAAAACATTCATTTTCATTTTTACATATGAAATCATCTTGTATAATAAAAGGTTAATATACAAATTGACTGAATGGCAGAACCACCAGTTGCAATGGTGCACACTGACCACCAGGGAGCAGATGCTCAACGTAGGAGCTGCCCCCTCATGGTCAGTGCGCTCCCACAGGGGGAGCTCCTCTCAGCCAGAAGTCTTGCACCTCGCTCACTGCTGACAAACTCAGAGGCAGTGGTGGGAGCCTCTCCCACCTCTGTGGCAGGCGGACATCCCCCAAGGGGTCCCTGACTGTGAGAGGGGTGCAGGCTGGGCTGAGGGACTCCCCCACCCCCAACACACACACCTCCAGTGAACGAATGTCATGGACCAGGCATCTAGTACTATATATTTAGATAAATAGATGGGTGGATGGAAATAATCCCAATTAATGTCACTCTTCCACTGACTAAACAGGAGCTGCCCATACTTAAAGACTATTTCTAAACTTGCAGGTAAGTCGAAAGCTTTAGACATTACTTGAATTGCTTGCAATGGGAGAGCAAAGGCTACCATTCCAATAAGTGAAAAGGCAGAGACTTGATTGATATTTGTTCACTTTCAACTAAAGGTTTGCAACTCAAACTTTATCATAGAGCCATGTGTCCTGGTTTTGACTTGGAAAAATCTTGCTGCCTTAGAACACCTGAAGAAGTTAAAATAGCTAATAATAAATCTAATGTTAGTCGTTATTCTTTTACTAGAGGCCTGGTGCATGAAATTCGTGCACAGGTAGGCTCCATAGGCCTGGCCAGCTATCAGGGCCAATCAGGGCTTTCCGGCTGCCTGCTGCTGACCAGGGCTTTCCTTCATTCTATGTTGCCCCCTGATGATCAGCGAATATCATAGCGAGTGATTGAACTCCCAGTTTTCTGGTCAAACTCCCGAGGGGACACTTGCATATTAGCCTTTTATATATATTGGTTCACAGATCCTTTTAAATGTGAAGAATGGTATGAACACTGTTGCTAGAAAAATGTAAACATACATTTGGTATAAAATCTTGAAGAATTCGCCGAAACCGGTTTGGCTCAGTGGCAGAGCGTCGGTCTGCGGACCAAAAGGTCCCAAGTTCGATTCCGGTCAAGGGCATGTACATTGGTTGCGGGCACATTCCCGGTTGAGGGTGTGCAAGAGGCAGCTGGTCGATGTTTCTCTCTCATCGACATTTCTAGCTCTCTATCTCTCTCCCTTCCTCCTCTCTGTAAAATATCAATAAAATATATTAAAAAAAAATCTTGAAGAATTCCCTGATACCTGGACTATAAAATGGGAGGCTTCTGAAAGCAAAAGGGGTGCTACAAAAAAAATCAGGTCAGTGTAAACCGATACTGCCCCAAGCAAACTGGATGTACGCTACCTTATCTTTTTAGCTCACAGGGGAATCCACTGTAATGGATGGTTCCCTGGTAATCACTAGCCAGATATTTGAAGTAACTTTATCTTTTTATAACAAAAGGCACATTTACCAAAGAAGAAGAACATAATGTTTTACTGGCACTGACATGCATGAATAAAAACTATTAACGTTGCATTTTAAATCTAAAAATACTAACCTTTACTGCAAACTCCATGTTTGTGGCTTTATGTATACATCTCTTGCAAACGGAGTAGGAGCCAACTCCAATATCTTCTTTCACTTCATATCCATCAGTAAACTGAATACTATTCCTGTGCAACTGCTACAAACACAATTATAAATTGACAAAGAGTTCTATACTGACTTTGGTACATTTCATTACAGGGGGATATATTACTCAGCATGAATTATTGATGTTAACTATAAATGAATATTAATAAAAATAAAAATCTTTAAATCATTTATTCTTCCACAACTGTATATTTTAGAAGTGTTTACAATAAAACGTGCAGCATGAAATAGGCCTTTTAAAAAAGCTAGATTAATAAATTAAATTAAATATGTAAACAGAATATGCAGAACTACTTGATGGGCTGACAGCCTCGCCTGTGACTGAGCACCAAATACCTTTGCAAATAGGGAGAAGTTTGACACTTGGATTGAACATCTGTATTTTTGTCTCAGATGTACCACTTGTAGGTTGTGTAATCTTGAACTTGTGTTTTCTCAGAGGATAATGGTGAGGATTAAATAACGTTATTTGAAGGTGATACTTATTATCATCATTTGGACTATCTGTAACCATACCTTCCTTTCTCCACCCTCAAGTCATAGCTTTAATACAACTTGTGTTAGAGAAGCCATTCATGGGCTAAGTACTAATAACATGGAGGATGATGAACAGTAAATTATTTGTCCCACACACACACTGAAGGAAGTTCTGCTGCCCTGGGCTACAGTGATAGATCCTCCCACCCCCATGCCTATGAGCTTCATATAAGTTAAAAGTTGAATACTATAGAATATGTTTGTAATTTCTATGTTAGGTACAGAAGTTATCTCTTTAAAACTTGCCATACACCACGTGGTTGTCACAGTAAAAGAGACAGACTATTTTAACATGAACTTTGTTAAAAAAAACAAACGAACATTATTTAAACAGGTTTTCTAGGAAGTGGAGAAAGCAACATGATTGACTCATAAAATAAACTTTAGAGCAAAAGCAACTTAATTATCAAGCAAATTCAAGCACTAATTCCCTCTATGACTAGGAAGATGAATTAAATTTATTTTTCCATGATATTAGAATGAGAAGAAATAAATCTAATGTTTTGTACTTGTGTACTCCAGTAACGTTTAATTTAATAATAGTTCAGTCTCCTGTTACAAACACACCTACATATCTAGAAACCTGCTACTGTGGTTTTTAGATTTTTCTCCAGCTCTGATAATCATATGGGATAATGAGAGAGGAGGCACCCTAAGACAGTACACCCATAACCATTTCTGCATAATGACAATGGGGCTCCAAAAGAACAAGGACATAATACTTAGTAGACTTAAGATTTAAGTTCATTTTTATTTCTTAAATGTTTCTATGACAGAGGTTGGCAAACTATGGCCTGAGGCCAAATCTGGTTCACTATTAGTTTTTCTAAAGTTTTATTGGAACACAGAGATGCGCATTCATTTTTGTATTGTCAATGGCTGCTTTTGTGCTGCAATGGCAGAGCTGAGTAGTTGCAATAGAGATCATATAGCCTACAAAGCCTCACGTATTTATCATGTGGCCCTTTACAGAAAAAGTCTGCTGACCCTTCTTCTAAGGTAATCAGGGGACCAGGGAATCAGGGAATCATAGCTGACCTGATAGAGGCAGAGGTTGAAACAAACTAGGCCTGATAAACATTTTGAGGCACAGGACAGGGGAGAGACAAGATGGTGATATTTATCTCAACTCTCTTAGAATTCTAATCCTATCTCATTATCCCAAGTCAGACAAGTATTCAGGATTCTGGTGCGTGCAACCTTTTCAAAGGCATACAAAAGAAACTTCTAAGAGTAACATCAATGATATATAAAATGTATTTTAAGCTGCTCACCTAAGTCAGCAGATAAAAATCTAAGCTAATCATTCATACAATGAACTACATTTTACATTTCAAACTTAAAACTACTTACACATTCACTCACCTGAACAATTGAATGCACACCAACTGTCTGCATAGCTTGGCTTTCGTCATCTGAGGTAATAGCAACAAAACTAAACCCCCGAAAAAGCTGATGTGCATTAGCACTAGGTGGAATGCCAGGTGAATCTGAAAAGAATAATAAATTACCAAGAAGGTGATTACTTTGAAAGACAATTAAAGGAAGAACTGTCCACATTATAACCTTTCACTTTTTCTCAGGCACCTAGTACTTTCAGGATAACCCAGGGAGGCACTGTAGCAGATCTACCCTGATGGCTTATTGCCATAACTCTAATACCATATTCCTACAGAGTCCAGAAAATAGCTAATTCATTTAAGAATATAATAAATCAATGAATTACTGGGCTAAAATGCTATTCTAAATTAGCACTGTCCCATAGCTGTGATGAACATTTTCTTTATCTGTGCTGACCAAAATGGTAGCCACTAGCCACATGCAGCTACTGAGCATCTGAAATGTGGTTAGTATGACTGGGAAACAAAAATTTTAATTTTAATTAACTTAAGTTTAAATAACTACATGTGGCTATTGGCTACCATATTGGATGGTGCAGCCCTAAATGGTAACCTACCAATGCTATGGCTTCCGATTAGGAGGGGGATATAAGGGTGACCTACAGATAATTTAGGAGAAAAGAATTTAGTTCAGTGGCCTCAATACATAATGTTAGAATCTAAAAATCTAAACTACAAGTTAAAAATTATTATATATATTTAAGGATCAAAAGTAATTTCTAGCATAATCATGGTATGCAATCCTTAAAATATATTTATGACACAACAATGTATTGTTATTCAAATTATTTATTGGAATCTACTGGCATTAATAAAAGTAGAAAAATGCTTTTACAGTATAGCTAATGTTCATTTTAAAGACATAAATATAAACACAATTAGGTATACTAATATTTATAAATATACTTTAAAGGCTAAGGGCAAGCAAAAAATAAATAGGCAAATATACTTAAACATCAACTCTGTATAAAGGTCTTTTTGAACATCAGCTTGATATTGTCAGCAATATATATTGTTTAGTGAATTTTAAACCAATTATTATACTGAAGACTTTTGCTAAAAGAACCTATCTGGGCAGAATCCAATATAGAATTGCTCTATTCTGAGATTTTTCCTTTACCAGGACAAATTGTATTGAGAAAGCAAAATAAAAGAAGACTACATATCAACTCTATGCATATCACTATCCATGTATTTGCTAAAATTTTGTTCATGCATTAATCCAAATTTCTAACACTGTCTTGTAAAATGAATAAAAACCCATCAATGTTCAATGTAGATTGTGAAGATTTTGTCTGGAAAGCTTTATAGCAAGGTTTGAGTGATATACTAGTATTCTATAGAAAATATATGTAAGTACACTTTCTATTTATTTACTTGTCAATGATAAACCTCGGGTCCAGTACAACTAAATTAGAGAGTATTAGAGAACAAAACACATCATTATATATAAACATAAGCTAATTAATGAAATATAGATGATCATTTCAAAGATTATTTCTATAATAAAGCATGATTCAGGATATGATTCATTTTGAAGTTATCAATCTTCATGTAAAGTTTAAGTTATGTTTGGGATTTGAACATTACAAGTACTTCCAGACTATAACTTAATATTAGAATTTTATTTTATTTTAAAAAATATATAATTTTTTGATTTTTTACAGAGAGGAAGGAAGAAGGATAGAAATCAGAAACATCGATAAGAGAGAAACATCAATTAGCTGCCTCCTGCACACTCCCCACTGGGAATGTGCTCACAACCAAGATACATGCCCTTGACTTGAATCGAACCTGGGACCCTTCAGTCTGGAGGCCGAAGCTCTATCCACTGAGCCAACGCGGTTAGGGCTAATATTAGAATTTTAAAGAGAACTATTTATACTAAAGAATATTTCATGTAAAAATAGCTATAAATAAATATACAAATAGTTTTTCCATATAAATAGAATCAAAATTTAAGGCACAATATAATTTGCTACAAGATTTCACAAGGATCTTAACTGCTTTAAAATGCTGTAAAGGATTTCCTAATTATTTAGTTTCTAGAGGCCTGATGCACGGAATTCGTGTAAGAGTAGGCCTTCCTTCCCTCGCTGCTGGCACTGGCACCGACTTCTCTCTGGCACATGGGACCTGGGCTTCCCTCATAGCCCTGGTTTTATCCGGTAGGTCGTGGGGAAGGACATCCGGTCTAATTAGCATATTACGTTTTTATTATTATAGATTGTGTCAGGGCTGGGGTATGAATGAGAAACATGAAGATAGCATAAAAATTAAACTGGAAAAGTTTTCCTGATTGAACAAGAAAAACATTATTGCCCGACCAGTGTGGCTCAGTGGTTGAGCATTGACTCATGCACCAGTCGGTTGCCAGTTCGACTCTCGTTACTGCACGTGTTTGGATTGCTGGCTCAATCCCCAGTAGGAGGTTTTCAGGAGGTAGCCAATCAATGATGTTTCTCTCTCATCAATGTTTCTCTCTCTCTATCCTCTCCCTACCCCTCTCTCTAAAAATCAATAAAAACATATTCTAAACAAATTAAAAATATAATGTCTTATATTTGGGTTTTCATGTTTCCTTCTTACCTTTGGGAGTTTTTGCAGTAAATTCAGGATCAAAATAGAACGTATCTTCAGGCCTGCCAGTTGCGGGTTTAAAAGGTGGATGAATTTCTCTTCTGTATAGTTTCTGAAGGAAAAAAGAGAGACTTAGACATGTGCTAATTATAAAAAAAAAATCCAAGTAAGTTTTTCATTCTATACTTACATTCCAATCTATTGTTGAGAAAAATAAATGTCTTTTAATTTCTTCCACTCCATCTGGTCCTGCACCTATCAACAATTAACCAGTTTTGATTAAATGGTAATTTTATTTCAAGGAGGAATATATATTATTTATTTAGTCTTCACTTTCAATATTTGTCCTAATAGTTCATAATCCCACAACAACAAAAATATCAGCCCCCCTCCTCCCAAACCAAATACCAACAGACACACAAAAGAATAAAAAGAAAAAATTTACCTAATCTGTTTGCAGGATTTCGTTTGAAAAGCATTCGTAAAAGACTCTGGGCTTCAGGACTCAAAAACTGTGGCATCCCAAGTTTAGCTCTAAATAATAAATCCACATAATAACATTTTATTTTTTTGAGGTATCTATATTTTATTTTTAAAATTAAAATTTTTATCTTAAGATAATTGTGGATTCATACTCAGTTGTAAGAAACATAGAGAGATCATGTGTACCCTTCTTCATTTCTGTAATTTTGTCATTTTTAGAATGTTATGTAAATGGGATCATATAGTAGATAAGCTTTTTTTTTTTACTCAGCATGAATTCCCTTCAGATGTATCTAAATTATTGTGTATATTGAGAGTTCATTCCTTTTTATTGCTAAGTAATAGTATTCCATAGCATGGATGTACCACATTTTGTTTATTTACCTGTTAAAGAATACCTGGATTGTGTCCAGTTTGGGGCTACTACAAATAAAGTTGCTAAGAACATTTGTGTATAAAGTTTTGGTGTGAACACATAATAATTTTATTCCATAATGCCCCAATGAACTTTTCATTTTTCAGAATTTTACAAAAAGCACAACTATGAGAGTAAGATCATCTGAGTCCTAGTTCTGGCTCTTCTAAGAACTTTGTGACCTTGGGCAAGCCAATCCCCTTGGGCCAGTTACCGCTTCTTCAGGAGCAAGCAGATGGGACATTAGATTAATGGTTTTCAAACTGTATCCTTGAAACCCCTTTTCAAAACGAATTTAAGAAATCCAATATTTAAAACTGCTAAATGAACACCTGCTTCTGATGTTTATTTTTCTCTCTCATTCCCTTTAACAGCTATGCAGGGAAGAGGAGCTGGTGTCTAAGGGGTCTGTGGAATATATGAATTTGTAGCACACAGTCTGAAAACCACTGGTCTGGATGAGCTTGAAGGTCTGTTTCAACTCTAATATATAATTTTATTCTTTTATCCAACCTACAAATTATGGAAACCAATGATTCTATAAGTATGAAAATAGTAACAGTTGGAGAAAATGGCTAGCAGAGAAATTTCTATTTCAGAAATAGATCCACTTATTATTCAGTTACTATGAACTATGTGCTAGACATTGCTTAGTGCTGAAGGTATAGAGATAAAGACAGCTTCCGATGGGTAGTAGGGAAGATGGATATAGACAATCCTGGTATTTTTAAGAGACAAATCCAGAAGGACATATGGAAAGAATGCTAAGAGAACAATTGGGAATATCGAATTTAGCACAAGAAATTGTGAAAGGTCTTCAATGCAATTTAAAGGTTGAGAATTTATTCATTTGGCTAGTGTTTCTCCAACATTTTATTAAATAGCATTAATCTCTCTAGATAGTTAACAAAACATTTTCATGATCCAATGAGTTTGTAGAATGCTATCTATTATACGCCCCTGCTGAAACCATAGGATTTAATACATTACATATAAAAGGCTGAGACATCTAGAGTAAAAAAAAAATTTAAAAAATCAGTATTTTTCTAAACATTTGTTTCTAACAACTCTCAGAGAATATGCATTAACATCTTATAGGGTTAGGGTTTTGTCGAACAAATCTGGGGAAACATTTCTGTTTAGGTAATAGGGATACAGCAGTGGTCTTCAAACAATGGACTAACATAACCAGATTCATCTTCAAGAAGGTAACTCCAAGAGTACTATAAAGTTATCTGGAATGGGAAGCACTGGTCGATAATAGACATTCTATTTAGGAGCTTTGGCCCAATAGTGCGGGTGGGACATCACCTTGGTCTGAAAACTGTAAGCAGTTCAATGCAAAGGAAAGGCTAAGACACAAGAATATTCCTGACAGCAAATTTGCTGAATACCTGCATATGCAAGAAAGGAATAAAAAATGATTTCCAGGTTTCTGGCTGCATGGAAATGATACTAATTGGGACTACAAGAGGAAAAGTACAGCAAATAGAAATAAAAATCTTAAGTCATGCATGTCATATTTTGGGAGAACTAGGCAAGGAAATAAATTAAAATATAGGTCTGGTGTCTTGTAATTAAGGTAAGAAAGTGTGATTTAGGAGTAATTAAAATGCTGAAAGTAGTTATAAGGAAAGTGAGCACACAGAGGGGCAAAAAGCATATTAGAGATGAAACCCTAGGTAATAAGAACATTTAAAAGTGATCAGAATAAGGACAATCTGGGCATCAAAAATAACGAATGTAATTGGCTGAATCACACTGATTATTAAATCCCACAAGTTCATTATAAGGAAAAAGGCAAAACTAACATAAAAACCCAAGTCACTGGACACAACCCCCAATGAAAGTGATTAGGGCTCTCACAATTGAAAATAAGAAAATAACTAAACATTTATTTTGCCTTTCTTCTTTGAGCCTTATTTAAAGGTAATTAAATAGCCCTAGTTCAAGAGGAAAAGTTCACTGTTTCAAAAAACAAACAAAAAACCAAAAAAAAAAACCAAACAAAAAAACACACCAAAACACAACAACCACACAACTAATAAGGAATAAAAGTAATAGAAAACCACTATTTTGAATCCCTAGTAAAGTAATTGTTTCAAGTAATGATTATCAATAGATGGAACCTACAGACGAAAGCCTGACAGAGAACTTTACAAGAAAGGAATCAGTTGTATTCACGGGAACTATGTTATCATTTAAAGTGGAACAACCAGATGTTGTAAGCCTCTTGATGTGATGCAAAAGCACAAGCTAGGAAATAATCTTGCCAAAAAAGTTTAACCAGAAAACAGGATAAAGGAACAAGTTAAATGGTATCACAAGGAGAAGAAAGATATTTGCATGCTCCTACAAAAAGACTTAATTGTTATGTTACTATGGTAGCAAGAGAGCCACCAGAACTGGTTTAAACCTATTCAATTGATGAAAGACAACTTGCCCAGGTGTACATAATTGTTTTTGCAAACAACCAATGGCTTTCTGTGAAAATTAACTAAACAAGAATGGGCTGCCTCCACTAACCACACCTGAATCAACTGATCAACAATAATCCCACCCAAGTAACCACATTCTTACAGATGATGTCAATCCACTTATGGCCCTGAAAAGCTGCTATGTCTTGAGATCCACCCTTCCCCAAAACCATATAAAGGAACAGTGGTCTGGTCTCCATGGAGAGACTTTACTGAACCAGCATTGCCTTCCCTCACTATAGTAAGAATACAACCAGCTTTATGCTTTTTGTTTCAGACATTGAGAGTGGTCTTATCTTTTCACAAGATAAAATTAGAAAAAAGAATTCTAAACTGACTGACTTGGTTCCTACAAGTAAGTGCCAAGGTGGGGGGGGCAGGAGTAGAATATTCTAGATGAACAGAAGCTTAAGAAATACAACCAAATGAAATGAGCAGACTTAATTTGGGACTATAAAAACACCGTTTTGGAGACTATCTGAAAAATCTGGTTAAACACTGGTATTAGATGATACCCAAGCATTATTACTACTTTTGTTAGATGTGGTTATATAAGAAAACATCCATACTTTTTAGTGATGCAAACTGAAGTAGGTGAGAAATGACATGATTAGAATGCTTAAAATATTTCAGTAAATTAGAAAAAAAGGATACTTGAAACAAATGTCACAAAATCTTGATGACTGTTGAATCTGGGTGACTGATATATGTGTACTCACTGTATTATTCTATTTTGCAAATTTATGTTTGAACATTTCGTAATTAAAAAGAGAAAGGCAAGCAGAGAAAGAATGGTCAAGCAAGAGACCAAAAGAGGAATGGTTAGAGATAAGAGAAGCCAATGCAAGCAGGAAAAACTAAGAGGGGAGGGAGTGGCCAACAATGTCAAAGATTTCTCAGACCTTCCTTAACTGTCCCATCTACCGGTAAGGTAAAATGGCTCCTGCCCTTGCCCCCACACTTCAAGAGTACCCTGGTTGATTATCCCTATTCCTCATATTAATATCTTAAATTATTACATTTATTTGTTTAAATATTAATTCCTATCTGCCCCAGTAGAATGCAAACTCTGACCACAGAAGATCTTGTCAGTCTTGTTCACACTGCATCCTAAGTTAATCTGTAAAAAGACCTCAGTCATCTGCTGAATGAATTGTGTGAACACATGGTAAAAAGTCACCTTTCTAATAATCTGCCACTGGATTAAGCAACTAGATCACTCATGACAATAATGAGAGAAGTTTCAATAGAGTGGTGGGAAGGAATAACAGAATAAAAGCAGCTCAAAAATGCTAAAAGACAGACCACTCTTGAAAGAGGCTTGTGTTGAAATGACACAGGAAGATGGTGCAGAAACTTGGAAGGCAAGGCAGGTTAAAAAAGTTGTTTCTCTTTCCCAACACTAGAGTGTGTGTGTTAGCTTAAAGAAAAGGGCCAGCGTAGATGGGAGTGATGAAGGTTCAGTGAACATTTATACAGCAAACATTTTAAAACCCTTTTTTTATTGTGAAGAAAAACACAAAGTACAAAACAATCCAACCCAGAATACACAGCTCAATGATTTACCACAAAGTGAATAGTCATCTGACTAAGAAATGTAACATTGCCAGAAACCCTCATCCAATGTAACCACTTTCCTTATTTTGCCTCAGGCTCTTCTGATCTAAATGTAGACCCTAGAATCTAGGCTTTAGTTTGTCTGTTTTTAAAACTTCATAATAGCATTCATTCTTTTGTGTCTGAACTGCCTTTGCTTAACATTCTTATAAGATTTACCCAAGTTGCATATAACTATGGTTTGTTCATTTTCTTTGCTATATGGTACATTACACCAATGGCTAAAGGCCTCAGCCTATTTTTATATGGCTTTCAAGCTAGAAATGTTTTGTGTGTGTTTTTTTTACATGTTTTAAGTATTGGAAACAAAAAATAAACATTAAGAATATGTGCCAGAGACTGTGTCTGGCCTGAAAAACCTAAAATATTTACAGATAGTATGTCAACCCCTGCTGTATTCCATTATATGGTATGTATACTAGAGGCCCGGTGCACGAAATTTGTGCACAGGGCGGGGGTTCCTTAGCCCAGCCTGCACCCTCTCAAATCTAGGACCCCTTGAGGGACATCCCTCTCACAATCTAGTACTGCTGGCTCCTAACTGCTTGCCTGCCTAATCGCCTCTAACCCCTCCATCTGCCTGCCTGATTGCTCCTAACTGCTCCCCTGCTAGCTTGATCACCCCTAACTGCCTCTGCCTCAGCCCCGCACCCGATACCCAGGCTTCCCTCCTCTGGCCAGCCACAGGCACCTTGACCCAGGCCAGCGACAGGCACCTGGGACCCCAGGCTTCGCCTGGGCCCTGCTTTGCCAGGAAGGACACCTGGAAGGTCCTTTGGAGACGTCTGGTCTAATTAGCATATTACCTTTATAGATACCATAATTATTAATTGTTATGATTGATCCAGTTTCCATTTTTTGACTATGACAAATAATGCTGTTATGAACATCTTTGTAATTTTTTTGATGTGCAAGTACCTTGATGCACATAAGCTAGTACATGCCTAAAAGTGGAATTATTGGATAAAGATATATGATCTCAGAAGATAATGCCAAAAACTGCTTTCCAAAGTGGTTATAAAAATATTTACATTCATTCCAGCTATGCATAAAAGTTACCACTGCTCCATATCCTGTCAGTACTGTTAGCCTTCTTACTGTTAGTCATTCTGGTGGGTATGTGGTTGTAGCATGTTGTGGCTTTAACTTGCATTTTCTGATTAATGAGGGTAAGCATCTTTTTAGAAGTTTATTGGCCAATGAAGTCCCTATGTTCTGTACCCATGTTTCTATTAGGCTGTCTTTTTCTTATTGACTGGAGCTCTTGATATATTCTGGACATAAGCCCTTTGTTGGTTATATGTGTCACAATTTTCTTCTCTAATCTTTCACAATGGAATCTTTTGATGAGAAAAAGTTATTGATTTTAATGTAGTAATCATATATCAATCTTTTCTTTTATAACTAGTGCTTTTTGTGTTTGAAGACTACTCTTCCTACCCCTAAGATCATGAAAATATTCTTCCATATGCTTCTAGAATATTTTTTGCCTTTTTACATAAGCAAGTATGTATAGATATACATATACACACATATACATATAGGTATGTAATATACTTGGAAATGATTTTTGTGTTTGGTGTGAGATAGGGATTGTTTTATTTATTTTTTTACTCGAACACCAATTTTTCCAGTATGATTTATTTTTAAAATGCTGTTCTTTTTCTACTGCTCTTTCAATGGTTGCAAATCAAGTGTCCATATATGTATAGGTTTGTTACTGGGTTCTATATTCTACTGCATAAGTCTATTTTCTATACTTGTGTCAATGGCATATTTTCTAATTATAGTTACAGTAAAACTTGACACTTGGTAAAGCAAGTCTTCCTATCTTGAACTTCTTCAGAGTGTGTTAGTTATTTTTGGTCCTTTGTATTACCTTATTAGAATCAAGTTCCACACAAAAAACTTGTTAGGACCTAAATTTGATTTGCATTTAAGCTATAGTTATACTGTCCAATATGGTAGCCACTAGCCACAGACAAACAGTGAACACTTGTGATGTGGCTAGCCCAATTGTAAGTGTAAAGTGCAAATCGAATTTCAAATAACTATGAAAAAATACATACATCATTAATCATTTTTAATGTTGATTACATGTTGAAATGTTAATGTACTGATATACTGGATCAAATAAAATATATTACAGTCATTTCAAAAATTGTGTTTTTGAAAACTGTGTCATTAGTGATTTGGGCATTATGCAGACACCACAGATTGCACTTACACAAACCTAGGTATATGTAGTATAGCTTTCGACACACCTAGGATCTATAGTATAGCCCAGTGGTCAGCAAACTCATTAGTCAACAGAGCCACATATCAACAGTACGACTGAAATTTCTTTTGAGAGCCAAATTTTTTAAACTTAAACTATATAGGTAGATGCATTGTTATTAACTTAATTAGGGTACTCCTAAGCTGGCCTTTGTAAAATATGCCATCAATCTGATTGCGGTACATTCAAGGGGCCAAAGAGCCGCATGTGACTTGCGAGCCGCAGTTTGCCAACCACTGGTATAGCCTATTGCTCCAAGGGTACACACCTGTATAGCATGTTACTCTACTGAATATTGTAGGCAATTATAACCTAATGGTAAACACAGTGTATATAATTATATGTGCTCTACTTTTATATGATTGGCAAGCAGCGCAGTAGGTTTGTTTACATTAGCATCACCACAAACACCTGAGTGATGTGTCACAACCACAATACAGTGGCTATGATGTCACTAATAGAAATTTTCAGCTCCATTATAATCTTATGGGACCATCATCACATATGAGGTCCATCATTGACTGAAACATTGTTATTCAGTGCATTGCTATATAAAAAACAATTTTAGCCGAAACCGGTTTGGCTCAATGGATAGAGCGTCGGCTTGGGGACTGAAGGGTCCCGGGTTCGATTCCGGTCAAGGGCATGTACTTGGTTGCGGGCATATCCCCAGTAGGGGGTGTGCAAGAGGCAGCTGATCGATGACTCTCTCCCATCGATGTTTCTAACTCTCTCTTTCCCTTCCTCTCTGTACAAAATCAATAAAATATATTTAAAAAATATATATATATTTTTAAAAAAATTTTAATTTTCTTACTTTTTTAATGCTGCTACCAAAAAATTTAAAATTATGCATGTCGCTCAAATTATGTTTCTTTGGATAACATTGTGCTATAGAACTCACATTTTTATAATACGGCTCTGTCATAATATGAATATAGTACAACCTTCCATGTTATTGTGGTTTTAAAAATTTTTTTAAAAAAATATATTTTATTGATTTTGTACAGAGAGGGAGAGAGACAGAGAGTCAGAAACATTGATGAGAGAGAGAGTCATCGATCAACTGCCTCTTGCACACCCCCTACTGGGGATGTGCCCGCAACCAAGGTACATGCCCTTGACTGGAATCGAACCCGGGACCCCTCAGTCCCCAAGCCGATGCTCTATCCATTGAGCCAAACCGGTTTCAGCAGTTTTATAAATTTTTTAAAATAAAATGCCCTAGTTTTCTGCAGAGTTCTTATATAACTTTTGCTAGATTAATCCCCAGGTATTTGACATTATTATATAACTGGAGGCCCAGTACATGAATTTGTGCACGGGTGGGGTCCAGCTGGCCTGGCCCCAATTGGGTCTGATCAGGGCCAGGCCATGGGCAATTGGCTGGTGGGCCCCACCCCCAATTGGGGTTGGGGATGGATCTGCGGTGGGGGAGGGGCTGTAGGAGGTTGACTGGCTGGACCCCACCCTCTTATGGGGTGCGGGAGCTGACTGGGGACCATTAGCCTGGGGGAGGGGTCATGGGTGGTTATCAGCCAGCCCTGCCCCTGATTGGGGTTGGGGGGGCCTATCTGATGCAGGGCCAGCCAGAGGGAGGGGCTGTAGGCCAATCAGGGTGGTGGAAGCCCATAGGGGGCAGGGACGGTCAGGGGGAGTTGCTATATGAGGTTGGCAAGCCAGCCCCGCCTCTATTGGAGTGTGGTGTGTGATCAGGAGTGGGGCTGGCCAGGGGGAGGGGCTTCTGGTCTATCTTGGTGGGGTGGGCTGATCAGGGGCAGAGCTGGGCAGAGGGGGAGGTATTTTATTGGCTAGCCTCATCCTTAATCAGGGTGGGAGAGTCCAATCAGAGGCAGGCTGGCCAGGGGGAGGGGCCGCAGGAGGTTGGCTGGCTGGCCCCACCCCCTGATCAGGCTGGTTCACTGGCCACAGTGGGCGTGACTGGTTGATCTGGTGTTATGGTCCCTGGATTTTTATATATAGACTAGAGGCCCAGTGCATGACAACTGTGCACTGAGGTAGGGGGGCAGGGTCCCTCAGCCTGGCCTGCACTCTTTCACTCCAGAACCCATCAGGGTCCTTAGCACTGCCACTGCCACTGCACTCCCCAGCCATGAGCTGGCTGGTGAGCTCGACTTCTGACTGAGCAGTGCTCCCCTGTGAGAGCGCACTGACCACCAGGGAGCAGCTTCTGCTTTGAGCATCTGACTCCTGGTGGTCAGTGAGCATCATATTGACTGGTTGTTCCACCATTTGGTCAATTTGCATAGTAGCCTTTTATTATATAGGATTATAAACAGCATTCTTTGTTGCTGGTATAAAGACATGAAATAGATTTTACTGACTTTTTATCCAGGAACTTTGATAAACTCATTAATTCCAAGACTTTATATAAAGATTGTATTTTCTATGGGCATGATCATGTGTTATCTAAATAATGAGAATTGTATTTCTTCCTTAAACCTTAAACCTTTAAAAAAAAATCTTAAAACTTCTGCCGAAACCGGTTTGGCTCAATGGATAGAGCGTCAGCCTGTGGACTGAAAGGTCCTGGGTTTGATTCCGGTCAAGGGCATGTACCCTGGTTGCAGGCACATTCCCAGTAGGGGATGTGCAAGAGGCAGCTGATCTATGTTTCTCTCTCATCAATGTTTCTAACTCTATCCCTCTCTCTCTTCCTCTCTGTAAAAAATCAATAAAATATATATTTTTTAAAATCTTAAAACTTCTTTTGCTTGTCTTGCTGTTCTTGTTAGTAGTTCCAGGACAATGTGAACAGAACTGAAATAACAGGCATCCTTGTCATATTCCAAATCTCAAATGTAAAGCTTTTAATACTTCATTAACAAACAGAAAGACAATAGGAGTACTCTAAATGGAGTTTATTTGTATTTAAACCACATAATACTAATGTCATAAAATTGAAGAATTTCTTAGTTATATTTTACACTACAGCCAACACTCAAAAATCTTATTGATTTCAGACAGTAAAGGAGAGGGAGAGAGAGACTAAAACATCAATGATGAGAGAGAATCATTGATGAGCTGCCTCGTACACGCCTCACAATGGGGATCGAGCCCACAACCCGGGCATGTGCCCTGTCAGGGACTTGAACTGTGACCTCTTGGTTTATAGGTCAACACTCAATTACTGAGCCATGCCGGCCAAGTGAAATATTTACTTTTAAATTTCATCAAAACATAAAGTAGGTAGTACTTACTTAAGGATCATAGTCATTGTTTCTTTTCGATCTTTTCCTTGGAAAGGTAGTGTACCAGTGAGCATCTCAAACTGCAAAAAGGCAGAATAATCAGAGGTAGTCAATAGTATAAAATCTCAAGGCCATAAGGTAAGAAAGTATCATCTTAATTATAACCAAGTCTTCTAAAATTGCTATAGAATAAAACATAAGATTTATATTTCTACTCTCTTCATTACTAAACTTCTAAAAAGAAAAGACATTCCAAACCTCACCATTAACACACCGAAAGACCACCAGTCCGCACTCTGAGTATGACCTCGACGATTAACTACTTCTGGAGCCATATATTCCACAGTTCCACAAAAAGAATATGCCTTCTTCTCATGGTCAATAGACTCTTTACTTAGGCCAAAATCTGCCAAAATAAATATAGAATTAATAAATATCCTACAATAATTTGTATATGTAAAGTTTAAACTTAGAGTTCCAACATTTAAATTATTAAAAGATTCTAATCCAATACCATGATCAACCTTAAAGGAAATTTATATAGAGAGTAGAGAAAATATTTTAATAAAATGAGGACTTTTACCTGTTAATTTGATGTGACCTTCTTCATCAAGAAGTATGCTGGGGGGGAAAAAGAAACAAAGTCAGAAAAATCTTTTCAAACCACTAGAGATTTACAGATGCTAAAACTAAATTACTTTGTTAAGCATCCAATCACCACACTCACTCTAAAATAGTGCTTTAGACAGTGAATAGGAAGGTAAAGGAGAAAAAATATTTTGTTTTGTTTTTGACACATGACTAACAAATTCCAAAGATTAAGCTTTATAAACTTGTATTAGTGAGCCAGGAGCACTAGAAAACTAACAGAAAAAGAAACAAATCCTATATGTTCTTCTAAGTTGCTCTTTCTAATGCCATTCTGTAGAGGTGACCTAACTGAAGTCCCCAGTACTTGCACAGTAGACAGAGGGGCTACATATTCAAATTGAATGTGCAGAGTTGTCATTTTTAAGGCATCTGACTCAGTCATTCTTCCCTAGTTTTTTTTTTCTCTGACACAAGCAACACAATCTTCTCCTTAACACACCTCCCTCACACTTCCTGGTTTTCATAGACCCATGCCTTCACTGTATACATTCTCCAGTGTTTTATCTTCTAGAAGGTCTAATCTTATTCATCTAGTAGCTCAGTGCCTGGCAGAGCACAGACAAATAAGAAATGCAGTTCAAGCTGGTTTGGTTCAGTGGATAGTGTCGGCTTGCGGACTGAAGGGTCCTGGGTTTGATTCTGGTCAAGGGCACATGCCTGGGTTGCGGGCTTGATCCCCAGTGTGAGGCATGCAGGAGGCTGTCGATCAATGATTCTTTCTCATCATTGATGTTTCTATCTGTCTCTACATCTCCCTTCCTCTCTGAAATCAATTTAAAAAAATGCATGTTGAAAGAACTGGGCCAGTCTACAAAGGGCCAATAAGGCATTTTTAATAGTTTGGGCTTCTTTTCAAGGGCATTGAAAACCATAAACGGTTTACATGTGTAGAGGGTAAAAATGAACAGATTCACAATTTTAGAAAAAAATTTAGAGGGAAAAATAAGGGGTATTTAGTGAGCTCTTAGATATGGGTTTTGAGAAAAAACAAATGGAGAAGACGCTCAAGTTTCTAGCTTTAGCAAATACATGAGTGGAGAGTAACATCATTAATTAAATACTAAACTATAAGCCAACTGTATTTCTGGATAGGTATTTTAGTATATGACTTGAAAGGTCAAGTAATAAGCTGTTTAACTTATAATGAAAGCTATTTCATAATATAGACATTTCCTTACTTTTACTTTTAACTAAAAGAAGTTCAAGCCAAATTGTTATAATGAAATATTACTGTAAAAAATACTACCAATCTTCCTACATCACCATTCAACTATGATTACAATAAAGTTTATCACTGAGAGTATTTCAGTAAGGAATACTTTTCAAGTCTCTTCCTAATAAGGGACTTATCAGGAAAAAATACTAACCTTTATTATACTTGATTATGAAGCAGACCAATACATTTAAGGAATATAAAGGAATTATTAGGTATGGTAGAAATCATTCTCCCTTTTTTAAAAATATATTTTATTGATTTTTTACAGAGAGGAGGGGAGAGATATAGAGAGCTAGAAATGTCGATGAGAGAGAAACATCGATCAGCTGCCTCCTGCACACCCCCTACTGGGGATGTGCCTGCAACCCAGGTACATGCCCTTGACCGGAATCGAACCTGGGACCCCCTTCAGTCCGCAGACCAACACTCTAACACTGAGCCAAACCGGTTTCGGCCATTCTCCCTTCTAACAAATACATGAAAGACAGTTTTCAAAACAAAACAAACTTTAAAATAATTCTTAATATTGAGAGGAAAAAAAAGAAAACACGGTTAAAAGAGTATTACCTATACCAGTGGTTGGCAAACTGCGGCTTGCGAGCCACATGTGACTCTTTCACCCCTTGAGTGTGGCTCTTCCACAATATACCACGGCCTAGGTGAGTTTATTTTGAAGAAGTGGCGTTAGAAAAAGTTTAAGTTTTAAAATTTGGTTCTCAAAATAAATTTCAATCGTTGTACTGTTGATGTTTGGCTCTATTGACTAATGAGTTTGCCGACCACTGACCTATACCTTCTAAAGCATACTTTTAAGTAACCATGTACATCTATTACCTTTTTTTAAAAAGCACATGTTTTTATTGATTTCAGAGAGAGGAAGGGAGAGGGAGAAAGAGATAGAAACATCAATGATGAAAAAAAAAATTAGTGATCAGCTGCCTCCTGCATACCCTCTATTGGGGATCAAGCCCACAAACCTGGCATGTGACCTGACCGGGAATGGAACCCTAAGCTCCTGGTTAATAGGTTGACACTTAACCACTGTGCTACACCGACTGGGCAAAAACACTAACATTTTTATTATGAGTGTTTAATCTTACGTTTATAGTAACTTTTTCTTTTAAGGATTATATTACTCTTACCAGGAATTATATTTTATGTAATGATAGAAATTGGGAAAATGATGAGAAAAACCCAGTAATTATGTGGGGAATAAAAATAGAATTATATGAAACATCTCAAAACAAAATATATGAAAAACCAAACATAAAATGTGCAAGTGCAACAATTTCTTAATGATGACTTAAAAGAATTCCAAAGGAGCATTTCCTATGTTTCCTGTTGTAATTATGCAAATTGTGTATGTAACATTGTAATGTAAGTTATATCTAAGTTCTTGATAAAGATGATGGTTGTAAAACTCTGAATATACTAAAAAACATTGAATTGTATACTTTAAGTGGATGAATTGTATGCTATCTGAATTATATCTCAATAAAGTTTTTTTAAAGAATTTCTGATAGAGCAAAGTTCTTGTTTATTTCCTTAAAAAGAGGAAAAAACTTTCTTACTAAAAGTGATAAACACAAATTAAAAATCAGAAGAGCGTACAACTTAAATATTAGCCTCTTGATGACTACTGTTATAAAAGCAATGGGAAATTTACTCAATTCACACTTAAAATCTGAAATCATATAGAGAAGAACATTTTCAATAAACAGTATTTGGAGGAAAGCATTAACTCTATCCCATACATCATACCCAAACACTACTAGATGGAGTTAAAAGTAAAAACAGAAACCATAAAATTAGGAAAAAAAAAATCTGCTCATGGGATTGGAAAAGCCTTCCTAAGAATAAAAGTCAAAGAATAAATCACACAAAAAAAGACTGATATATCTGAGGAAAAAATACTTGTGTAGGTTAAAATAACACAAATAGCCAAAGCAGGTTTGGCTCAGTGGATAGAGCGTCAGCCTGAAGACTGAAAGTCCCAGGTTCGATTCCGGTCAAGGGCATGTACCTTGGTTGCGGGCACATCCCCAGTAGGGGGTGTGCAAGAGGCAGTTGATGTTTCTCTTTCATGGATATTTCTAACTCTCTATCTCTTTTCCTTCCTCTCTGTAAAAAAATCAATAAAATATATTAAAAAAAATAACACAAATAAAATAAAAAGACAAACCAGAAAAAATGTATTTGCAATACAGAGCGGGGCCTAAGCAGGGTTACAGTTGTGAGTACGTGAAACACCAAGTTTATTCTTGTATTCTTGTTTATTATTATATTATTTCCCATACGAACAACTGTAAACCTACTTTTGCTCCACCCTGTATGTCAAATGGTTAAATTCTTAATTTGTAAAGGTTTCTTACAAATCAATGAGCAAAAGTAACATTCCAAAAGAAAAATGGGCAAAAGCCATGAACAGAAAAATCACACAAAAATACAAACATCTGAATACAGATTTCAGCCTCATTACAAATCAAAGAATGCAAATGAAAGCAAGATAATATTAACAGAAATTCTGATTAACATATATTTAAGCCGGCCAGTATGACTTCCTGGTTGAGTGCTGATCCATGAACCAAGAAGTCACCAGTTCCATTATCTGTCAGGGCACATGCCCAGGTGGCTGGCTTGATCCCCAGGAGGGGGCCTGTAGGAGGCAGCTAATCGATGATTCTTATCAGTGTTTCTCTCTATCCTTCTTCCTCTCTTTCTAAAAATCAATAAAAATGAATTAAAAAAGTAAAAGTATGAGAATACACAGTGTTAGCAGAAATGTGAAGCACATGGACTCTAATGCAATGCTGTGATAGTTCTATGAAGTAATTTTAGCTTTTATTATCTCCTAAACAGTATTACATTGTATTCAACATAGTAGTAAGATTCCTTACTTTTCTGGTTTTAGGTCTCTATAGATTATTCCCAGGCTATGTAGATGGTCTAAAGCAAGTGCAAGCTCAGCCAAGTAGAATTTGACATCTTCTTCTGTGAACATCACCTAAAATAAAAATAATTTTTCTGTCTTTATTTTCTGTCTGTAATTTTCATTTAAAGTTCGATCCCAGAGTTTAAGTATTAAAAAATTATAACTTTGCTATTATATATGTAATTTTACCCACAAATTATATATGAAATTTGCAAAATTATCAGTCAACTAATTACTTACTAAATGCTAAATATGCACTGTGGGAGAAACAATTCTGCATTTTGTTAAGTAACAACTATATTAAGAATATGCAATTGTTACCCACCACAGTAATATCTTAGAAATGAAAAGTGATCTTTAAAATGCAGGCTGAATTTCCACTACCAATACTTTGAGGATATCTTGTTGATATATACTGCTTCTAAGAAAAACTGTAACTAAAAGAAGCATGAAAGACCATGGTAACTAATCAATTTAAAGTTCTACTTTCAGAATAAATTCAAAGGGTAAAAAAAATAACTTTTTTTGCTCTGATTCTTCAATGTAAGAATCTTGTACCACTAGAGAAAATATAGTAAACATAATATTGAAATATAACAAAGCTTCAGTTGAAACAGGGTGATTATAGATTAAAAATAAACATTAATCGTACCTCTTTGGATAAGCGTGTAAACAAATCTCCTCCCCTGAGAAAATCCAAAATAAGATACAACTTCCCTTCAGTTTGAAAAGCTGAATGAAGAGAGAAAATTTTTGTTTAATCCACCATAGTTTATTTTCTTAGGCTTATTTTAGGCAAACTCATTCATAAATTATTATTTGTAGCAAATTAATAATTATATCATAGATCTAAACTGATTTTTATTTGGAAGATACCCACTAATTTCCCTTAGCTTCCATGTAGAAAAGTTAAATGTAGTGTTTCTTTTTATGAAACCACTAGAACATTTGTTAGGTTTTCTTCAGGCTAGTCTCTGAGAAATACAATAGTTTTAGAACATGTGATCAATAAGAAACATTCCCCCCCCCAAAAAAAAAGACTTACTTAAACATGAAACAAAATACAAAAACCTTCTCACTTGACTACAGAAAAAAAAATGTGGGTTGGTTAGCTTTAACTACATATAGTAGGAATAACCATACATTTACCCATTGAGAAAAAGCACACATGCCTTTGGGGGAAAGAGAGGTGATAACAGTTTCAGGACATTAGAGATCTTTCTTATTTTTAAGTTTGGCTAACACATTATTACTAATATAAAAAAATTATTTTTATTACCTGTTCCTATGACTACCCACTCAGACACTATAATGTTTAAAAGGAACATAAAAGTTAAATGTGATAAAAGTTTCTTACTTTCTATATATATCTGCTAAACACATAAATATACACAAATAAATATTTATACACATTAGTGTATCTGAATGTCCTAAGGAAGTGGGGATTGAGGTGAAGAAGTGAGGTGGGAGGTGGTTTATAACTTACCATAATGCAACTTGACAATAAAAGGATGATTAACTTCTACCAAGATATCACGCTCCATTTTTGTCCGAACACGGTCTCGAACTATAAAATATTGCATATATGGCTACATTACAATAGCTTTCAGAGACAAGCTTTAAAACAAAATGTTTTTGGTGCTTATTTTAAATAAAATTTTACTTGTTTGTATAAAAAAAATAAATCACATTTTATATATCTTACTCTTGAATTTTTAACTAATAACTATATTTTTACTAAATTATATAACCAGAAGAAATTGTATATACTTTTAAAATCTATGCTTTGAGTTAAAAATAAATACAGAAAACATATTTGATAATTGGCGTTAACATTAAATTTATAAGTATTTTAATTAAAGTTATAAAAAAATGACCAAAAAAGAACAACGTTTAAAGAACAAGGCATCTTGCCGGGACTGGTTTGGCTCAATGGATAGAGCATCGGCTTGGGGACTGAAGGGCCCCGGGTTCGATTCTGGTCAAGGGCATGGACCTTGGTTGTGGGCATATCCCCAGTAGGGGGTGTGCAAGAGGCAGCTGATCGATGACCTTCTCTCATTGATGTTTCTAACTCTCTATCTCTCTCCCTTCCTCTCTGTGCAAAAATCAATAAAATATATTAAAAAAATAAATAAATAAATAAATAAATAAATAAAAAATAAAGAACAAGGCATCTCAATGAAATATATATAAAAGGCTAAGTGTCCATCCGTCTGACTGGTAGCTAGATGCACACTGACCAACAGGGGTCAGACACTCAATGCAGGAGCTGCCATGACGTGCAGTGGTCATTTAAAAATAAATGACACCATGGACCTGGCACCGACAAACCAATACTCAGCTTCCCACTTGGGACACAGGCCCCACCACCACCCTGGAGCGACACCCCACCAAATTGTAGCCGATGTTGCTGAGACCCCATGGTGCAAAATGCAGCCCACAGAACAGCCCAGCCTGGAAATGGTGGCTGTGGGTGCTGGGTAATGACATCATGTAGCAACGCCAGGCTTCCTCTCCCTAGTGACTAGCATCTTTAGAGTTTCTTCAGCCCAGGAACCCGACTTGCTTTATAGCCAGGTGCAAACATTTTACAGTTTAACCAAATGTTTGTGAAGCGTTTTCCTATGCCTCATCTCATTTGATCCTCACAGTAGTCCTGGAGTAGGGAGATAGGACTCAGTATAATCCTATTTTCTTTTCATTAGTAAGACATGAATAGCAATATTAAAATATTTCTTCTAATTAATTTCCTTTCAATCTGAATGAATCTATGCACTGGGACACTAGTTAAAACATAAAAACGGGAATAGGTTCCAATACCCCTATCAACCCTATCAACTCAATTCAACAAACATTCATTAAGTATCTAGATTCTAGAACTTGTGGCAGATATGGGGAAGAGTGGATATAGACCAAAAGACCTATTTTGAGGGGGGAGAAATAGGAAGAGAGGAAATACTATGGTGCAGCTGGTAGAGCAAAGACATTTTAGAGTTAGAAAGATCTGGACTCAGATTGTGTAATCTTAAGCAAGTTAGTTACTTAAAACTCTCTGGATCTCAGTTACCTTTTATTTATAAAATGGGGATAATACCTCTATACCCTTGGGGGGGCTGTATGACCGTTTGAGATGAGATTTGTACACCCCAGATTCTGGTATATAAGAGATCTTTAATTAAGATCTCTTATCACACATAACACCATGGATATGATAAAGAAGTAAAATGATTTATTACTAGCAATAATAGTATAGGAATTCAGAGAAGAAAAAGATCAGTGTTGCTTATATAGGAAGGCTTGAGGGAAAAGGTAGGGTTAGGGACTTTTAGAATGGAATTTAGATGGGTGGGAAGGACTGGGCCTCAAGAAGAAAAGTCCAGGTATGGAATAGTAACCCTAGCAGGAACACAAAGGCATACATGATGAAAAGGAAGGAACCAAAACAGTGTAGAAAGTGGGGAGGGGAAGTAGAGAGGATACAGATTATGGACAATTTGAAATGCCAGGAAGAATTTATGTTTGACTCTATAGGTAGTTCTCTTTTACCAACCAAACATTTTCCTGAGCAATTCTATATGTCAGGCATTGTGAAGCAAATACAAATAATGTTTAAAAATAATCTGGTGGGAATGACTGACAAGTAAATAAATGGTTATAATACAATCTGAGAAGTAGTATACTTGAGTTGGTAGCTCAATGAATTTAAGAGGTGAAAATGATCATTCATTAAAGTTTTAATTTTTTTCTGTTGCATAATAAGGATAAATCATAGATAACTTCTATTTTTTAAGCCAGAGTGACTGAATGGTTGTGCCCAAGTTTAAATAAAAAGTATGGTAAAGAGAATCTTTTTGGATAGGGTCAGAGAGAAAGATGAGCTGGTTTTCCTTTCAATTTAAGGTGATCACAGATATTTAAAACACAGAAATAAGACCTCTGAGAAAAATAAACAAAGAAGCTTTAAAAAATCCTATTTCCCAGTCTACTAGTTTTCCACTTCCAACTGGGGGATTTTGGTGCCAGTGACTGAAAATGGTCAAATCAGGAGTAGAAATTGATTGCTCTCAATGTCTATGTAGCTCTTTTTCAATGACTTGTCCAGCTAGTGTATCAAATTCAATACTAACCTCTGATTTCATTATCTTGTCCTATCACTACAACTCTGGTGTCTTATATCCAACAGGCCCTTCTATTATTTATGTGAATGAGGTTCATCATCTAGGGCTGCTGATAACTGTGTCTCTGTCTAGCCCAAATCTGCCCCTTTCCCACTGCTACCCATACAACATTATATTATGTTCCTATTACCTTAATGCTGGATTCCAAATTTCTACCTCCTTAAAAAATTATACAGACCTTACAAAACTTATCACTTAGAAATCACTCCTCTGTTCAGTAATCAATAAAACTATCCATCAATATATTTATATTCCTCTTCAACTATTCTACCATAATGAAAAGAATAATTACCTGGGGGTCAAAAACTATAGTTTAGTGGCCATGCTAATATCCAGTCGGTTTACCTTGGCCATATCCTTTCACTACTCAGAAATTTCCTGCTACTTTCTCTATAATATGAGAAGCTAGAACAAGATTTCTTTCTGTTATGATTATCTTGAGATAGCTTCCTGATGAAACTGTCTAGTTGAAAACGTGCAGTGAGATTCACTCACTAAAGAATTCTTTCATTTTGTCTGAGGTAGGACTGTGTAATAATTATAATTTTGTTTCTTTAACTTAGGTAAAGACCTAGTGACAAATATAAATCACCTATAATCAGGAATTTTGGTTATGATATACTGGTTTATAACAAGGCATGTTGTATGTGTTTATTATATGTCAGCTAAATTTCAATAAAGCTATTTTCTTTTTTAAATGTTTTTAATTTTAAATTAATTTATTTTTATTTTAAAATTTTCTCAATTACAGTTTACAATCGGTATTATTTTGTATTAGTTTCAAGTCAATAAAGCTGTTTTTTTTAAATGAAGATAAAGTATGTTTTATATTGGTTAAACTCTAAATCTTAATATGGAATTTGTTAATACTGTCTTGTTGCTGGCAAAACAACTACATTCCACTGAAATAATTTTTCTCAAGTTATTAGTTTTTAAACGCCTCTTGACTTAAACATGAGAGTGAACAAGAAGAAGTGCTATTTATGTTTTAGGGTGATATATTAAGAAATAGTTTAAACAATGGTTTACAAAACCTTTCAGGCCCAATTACTACTTTATTAGGATGAAAAATCCCCACAAGCTCAACCTAACGCTATTGATTTTTACTTGACCCCATTTATTGTATTAATAGGAATTTTAGAATGGAAAAAGACTTCTGATAAAACATGGATGTTTTGCCGAAACTGGTTTGGCTCAGCGGTAGAGCGTCGGTCTGCGAACTGAAAGGACCCAGGTTCGATTCCGGTCAGGGGCATGTACATTGGTTGTGGGCACTTCCCCAGTAGGGGGTGTGCAAGAGGCAGCTGGTCGATGATTCTCTCTCATCGACGTTTCTAGCTCTCTAACTCTCTCCCTTCCTCTTGTAAAAAATCAATAAAAAAAAGTATTAAAAAAAATCATGGATGTTTTATTTTCTACTTAATCCAAAATGCCATTGAGATTACAATAAGGGAAAAATTAGGTACAAACTCACAAGGACAGAGAACAGGAGAGGAAGCAGCAGCAGAAGATGTGTAAGTGGTAACTCACATAGCAGATCAGAGAAAGCTAAATTATAAGCCTAAGGGAAGGAAGTCAATGAGTAATAAGCAAATTCTTGCCATAGAATTCTTTCCAATTAGCTTTTTGCTATCTCACTCTTAAGCAAGGAAAAGAGGCATTTGAGGAAAAAGGCTTTAATATGAGAACGTATTTGAATAAACAGATAAAAGGAATAAAGTAAAAGACAATGTAAAGAACATAAGAAAATTTAAACAAAATTCAACCTTATAATTTATATCCACCAAGAGATCGAAGACCACATGGCATCCATAAAACAAAAAGCTTTCAAAGAGGTAGAGGGGAAGGAAGCAGTATTATCAACAAGCACTGTACAATGAAAAAAAAAAAAAAAAAAAAAGAAATGGAGACAAGAGCTCATAGATTAAAAGACTTAGAGATATAAACCAATTGCAAAATACAGACCTTACATAGATACCAATTCAAGCAAATTGCAAAAAGAAAAATGAATTATAATAACAAAGACTACTGGAAATTTGAACACTGGATATCTGTACATTAATTTTTAGGTATGATAGAGTTACAGTATTATTTTAAGAGTCTGTCTTTTAGAGATACATACTAAAATATTTATGGAAGAAATTATACAATATTTAGGATTTGCTTTAAAATATTTTGAGTTGAGAAATATTGAAGCAGAAAGTAGGGTATATGATGTTCTTTATATTCTTCTGTTTCTTTTTGTAAATGTTTGACACCATAATGAAATGTTTTACAAAACATTAGAGAACAAGAAAAAAATCTAGAAAATTAAAAATATGATAGAAACAAACAAAAATCAATAGGATTAGAATACTTTCCTAAAACTGAAGAAATGAGATTCTAAATTGAAAGAGGCATCCCATATTTAGTATGATGAATTTTAAAAACCCACAATAAGAAGTACTACTATACAGATTTCAGTACACCAGGGATAAAGAGTAAATTGATTCTAAAGACTTCCAAAGAGGAAAAGCAGTGTACATACAAAGGACTAAAAATCAGAATGGTAATCCTATATAATAAAAGGGTAATCTGCAAATAAACCAAATGACAGAACAACCTAACAACCAATCAAAGCGTAATATGCTAATGATATGCTAAGGATGCTCAACTGCTCACTATGACATGCACTGACCATCAGGGGGCAGATGCTGCAACTGGTAGGTCAGCTTGCTGCTGGATCCTGCAGATGGGTACTGAGCGAGATGGGCCGGACACACCCTGGAGCCCTCCCACAGTCCCTCCCTGGCCCGATAGTGCACAGGTGGGATCCCTCAGCCTGACCTGTGCCCTCTTGCAACCTGGGGCCCCTCAGGGGATGTCAGAGAGCTGGTTTCAGCCCTATGCTGCAGGCCACTCCCCTGGGGAGGGTGCACGAGCCTTTCCCTATCATCACTGATTTGGTGTGAACCCACAGCAGGCACAGTGGAGCCAGGATGAGTGGGAGCGGCAGGTAGGAGCTGCAGGCAGTGTTGGACTCTGGGTTTCCCAATCCCTGCAGGCCACCCAGAGGGACCCCACCCGTGCACGAATCTGTGCACCAGGCCTCTAGTAAACTTCATAATTACAAAACAGGAAACTAGAAAACAATGGAAACAATGCCTTCAAATATCTGAGGGAAAATTATTTCTGACCTAGAACTTTACACCCAGCCAAATTATAGATTAAGTGAGGGGGGTAGAATAAAGGCATTTCAGACATGCAAGGTCACAAAAAAATTTACCATCCAATCACCCTTTCTGAGGTAGCTACTAGAAGATGTGTTCCACCAAAATTAGAAAGTAAACTAAGAAACAGGTAGATACAGAATTTAGAAAAGGAGATCTATAATAACACAGCAAAGATGTGAAGGAAATGTGACTCCAGTACATCATTTGGCTCCGAAAATTTTTTTTATAAAGCTGCAGTAATGAAAACAAAACATGCTGAGGGAAATTGTGTGAGGGGAGAAGTATAGGAAAACTAAATCCTAATCTTCCATATTAGGATGCCAATAGGTTATGTCTCCAAAATAACAAAATAAAAAAACTGCAATAAAAGAGTTTTGAATACGGAGGTAAATGACAGCTAAAGAGGTAAAAGTCATTGTTTCTAGGACTCAAGAATTGGATATTCAACATTTTTGTAAAAAACACATTAAAATTTAATATAAATACTTCTGTACTATTTTTCGTCATTATTGATCCTCACCTGAGGATATTTTTTCCATTGATTTTTTAGAGTGGAAGGGAGGGGGAGAGACAGAGAGAAACATCAATGTAAGAGAGACACATTGATTGTTTGCCTCCCCCACGAGCCTTTGACGGAATCAAACCCATGACCCTTCCTTCAGTCCATGAGCCAGAGTTCTATCCACTGGGCAAACCGGCTAAGGCCTTTTGTCCTACTAATTTATATGTCTGTATTATTCCATTCCAATAGCACACTGAATTATACTTTTAAATAAGCTTCAAATCTTATAAGATTGTTACTTTGTCATCTTTTTTAGACTACTTTTTGAGATGTGTGCTTTTCAAATGAAATTTTGAGTATTTCAAGGAAAAATGCAACTGGAATACTAAGGATATGGAGCTAACTAGATGGTTAGAGGAATACTGAGACTTAACACCAATTAGCTTTCTCTAAAAGGAATTGGCATTTATTTCTTTTGCTAGTATCTTTTAGGTTTCTCAGAATTTCATAGTTTCTTTTACATATATACAATACAAATCCTGTTAGATATGTGAAAACAAAATATTACTATTAATTTTGTAAATGAATACTTATACAAGTTCCATCTATGCAGTTTTATAACATGAGTACAAAGTTATAAAAGTAGTGATATCAAATAGGGCACTGAGAATATAATTTAACTTCCTGTTCCTAGAATTAACCAAGTTAAGTAGTAAGGCAGGGGGTAGAGACTAGGTAAGAAACAAACAAAATACATTCAAGAAGGGAGCACGAGAAAGAAAGCGAAGGACAATGTTTATGGAGGAAGGTGAAATTTCTTGGACCAATGATAATGCCCAGGGTAGGTGACTCATTGGGAAGAATAATAAATGGTTATCACCTATGTTCCTCCAGAATATTTTATTTTATTTTTTTATTTTTTAAATATATTTTATTGATTTTGTACAGAGAGGAAGGGAGAGAGATAGAGAGAGTTAGAAACATCGATGAGAGAGAGTCATCGATCAGCTGCCTCTTGCACACCCCCTACTGGGGATATGCCCGCAACCAAGGTACATGCCCTCGACCGGAATCGAACCCGGGTCCTTTCAGTCCCCAAGCCGACGCTCTATCCATTGAGCTAAACCGGTTTCGGCATAGAGTGGCCCTCCAGAATATTTTAAAAGTTTTAGATATGACAGACAAATTGAAGAGAAAAAAATGATTTAGGAATCAATACATAATACTAGAGATTTTTGTGGTAAAATAACTAATATACTAAATAAAAGAAAGTCTTAAGCATTTAAATATCTATGTACAACTTCTTCTAAATGTTTAATTATGAGAGTCAAATTCTACATTACATTTTTTTTCAGAATTAGTGACTTGGAATAAAAACTTAGAGATCAGATGTCCTTAGAATAAAATCTATTTTGTATCCAGTAAAATTGTTAGTTTTCAAAACATTAAAATTATATCAATTTTAAGATGCATGAAACCCAGTTTTAATCTTATAAATTTCTACTTGTCTAAAGCCCAAGAGAATTTATAATACTTCTTCTATAACATGGCAACTCCCATTCTCACTAGTCAGATGATTCCTAACCCAACAGAAAAAATTTACCGAAAGAAAGTTTAAATTTAAATATGGTAACAGGAACAGATTCAGAATATAAGTGGCCTAGGAGTCACATGATGGCTATTGAGACCTTTTAGTTTGTTTATATTACATGAACATTACAAATAGTAGCAGTACTTACCTTTCAAAGTGGCCTTCTTCAATACTTTCATGGCATAAAGCTGTCTAGCATCAGAGCCTGAGATTTTTTTGACTAAGAAAACCTGTATTTAAATAAGAGAAAATAAATTTTACAAAGTTTCACAAGCTATACCATTGTTAAAATAAGAATCTTGCTGTGTCATTTATTATTAGAAAGATTCTGATATTTCTTTTGTTGTTAAATCCCAGAGCATGTAACATATAAATGTAACTTAGTAAGCACTTACCTTTTAAAAATGAATGATCACATATTTCTAAATATAAAGAACCACAATTCCTAGGTATGTTATTGAGCATTTTCATTTTCCAAATATGTTTAGCTCCTTTCTACATGTAGTGTGGGATTTATATAAAACCAATCACACTTGCTCTAAATAGTTCATGGTTACGCTATAACATGTATAATACAAAACTATCACTAAAGCTCTTCTACTAATTTTGACCATTAGTTTCAAGATTTTTTCCATCAAACCTTTAAACAGACATGCAAATGGATCTGAATTTGAATTTTTTCTCCTATTCATTCTTTTCTAGCAGTGTTATTACGCTGCCACAGATAGGAAGAAGAGACAATTACAATCAAGAATTTAGGGTCAGCTCTCAATTCTCTGCATTAGCACTCTAGGGTATTAGCGCACACACGCACAAAGATTCAGTTGATTCTAGGGCAAAGCAGAGTTCCTCGCGCTGAGAGACTGTGCTAAAGGTAATGGGCAATGACTTCAATTGAATTGAAGAATACCAGAATTTGCACAGAAACCCTGATGCAGAGTGTGTTCTCTCCCCAAACCACTCCCTTTCACCCCTTCCAGCCACTTAGCAGTGAGTCAATGTAGGGAAAGAAAAGCATTCTTTTTTTAAAAGTATATTTTATTGATTTTTCACAGAGAGGAAGAGAGAGGGACAGAGAGCTAGAAACATCGATGAGAGAGAACCATTGATCAGCTGCCTCCTGCATAACCCCCACTGGGGATGTCCCCGCAACCAGTGTACATGCCCTTGACTGGAATCGAACCCGGGACCTTTCAGTCCTCGGGCCGATGCTGTATCCACTGAGCCAAACCAGTTTTGGCAGAAAAGTATTCTCAATCAGAGAGGTCCCTACAAATGGAATGATATCCAAATATTAAAGGTTATCACAAATTAATATTTTTGAAGATAAATTCTAATTAGGTGGAGGTTATTAGGATTTATCTGATATTTATTCAGTCTTAAGATTCCCTAAGCCAGCTTCTTAGTGCCATTTTACAAAAAAAATTCTCCTGGTGGATTCCAAACTTTTTTCACACTTCTTTGAAAGCACTTTTTTTAATATATATATTTTCAGTGATTTCAGAGAAGGGAAAGGGCGATAGCAACATCAATGATGAGAGAGAATCACTGATCAGCTGACTCTTGTATGCCTCCAACTTGGGATCAAGCCTGCAACCCTGGCATGTTCCTTGACCAGGAATCTAACCATGACCTCCTGGTTCGTAGGGCTGAAAGCACATTCTTAACACTTTATAGTACTTCTTAATTTATAAAGTACCTTCTTTACAAGAATTTTTAATACATCATCATGACAATTTTGGGGAGGTAGACCTACTAAGCAATTCCTGTTTTACAGCTGCCCAAGCTAGGGATTAGAGTGGTTAAATAATTTGTCTAGTGTTACAGTGAAGGCATTGAGACAAGAACCAAGCCAGCCACCCAGTTCTGTGCTCCAGCTCAGTGCCTCTTACTCCAGTCCCTTTGGCCCGTCACCATCAAACACGCAGGAGCAGCAGTCCCAGATGCCACAGATCTTCCCCCACCAGAGCATTTCTGACCTTTCGAACTCCTCCATGAAGCTATTCTAGGCTGACAGGTCATCCCTGCTTCCTTGGCTTGGACTGGCTTTTTAGGGTGAGTAAGGAAGGAGACTTGTTTTTTTTTTATGTTTGCTATTTATAGTAAGGTATTTAAAGAAATAAAGGGAGAAGCACGCTAACTCCGGGAAACTTAACTAAATAATGTGTTCCCTGAAATTCTTAATGTATAGAAATAAATCCCTCTATTTGGGTTTATCTATATACATTGCATAATACAATTTCATAGCAGATGTTATATATTTGGCCTTATATCATTTAATTCTTACTATGGCCCTATGAGGTCAGGACTATTATTTACTCATTAATTCCTTTCTAGAATTATATGCTAGCTACTGTGCTTCCATTTTAATGCTGAAACATGGTACAAGACATGACCTCTGCACTCATAGGATATAGTCTATTGGGGGAGATAGCCAATAAACAAATAATTAAAATGAAAAGCTATAATTCTGGTAAGTGCTGTGAAGATAAGAAATATAATGTTGAGAGGGCAAAACAGGGGACTATAGCCCAAATTAGGAGGACTTTCAAAAGTCCAGGGAGAAATAGTGGTGCATAGACTGGAGGAGTGGCAGTGGAGGAGAGGACAGGATGATTTGAGGAATCTTTTTCTAAATCCATGGGACTTGCTGATGGATAAGGTTGGTAGTAGTGGGAGGTGTGGGAAGGGAAGGGAGGACTAGAAGGACTGGAGATACAAATCTGTTACATCGGCTGTATATTGGCTATAATTAAGATAGGGAGCATAGAGAAATTAGTAGTGAATAGAGTGAGAAGGCAGCTGAGAACGGGAACTTTGAGGAACTTCAAATTAAATGACTGACTAGAAGCAAAAAGGGGGCCCCTGGAGGTTAAGCACACACAAGTAAGTAGCCTAAAGTCACAACTATTATGTTCTGCTGGCTAAACTATATTTGGATTAAAAGCATCACTTTGGATTTGAAAGATGTTAACGGCTGTAACAAATTATCATGTTAGCCAAGAATTGCTAACTAGTCCCATAAAAATATACAAGAGAGCTTAAACTGATGTTGTTTTGAAGCGTGCAAAGTATATCTTCAAATGTTTCCTCACAGAGCGGTGGGAAGGAAGCCCCGCAATGTGAAAATTGAATGCAATCTCAGAATTTTCCTCTTGCTGAGAAAGGGACTAGAGAGATCAAGTAGCAGTAATTATAATACTGAACTTCTCAACTTGGAGTGTGGGAAGTACTTATGAGGTGTGTGGTAAGGGGACAAGGAATACTGGAAGAAAACTCATAAAGATTTTACATCTGCTGCAACAATTTTTAGTTAGTGGTTTTGGGAAATATTTTTTAATTGATTTCAGAGAGAGGAAAGGAGAGGGTGAGAGAAATGGAAACATCAGTGATGAGAGATTGATCGGCTGCCTCCGGAACACCTCACACTGGGGATCAAGCCTGCAACCTGGGCATGTGCCGTGACTCAAAATCAAACTTGACCTCTTGGTTCATGAGCCACACCTGCCAGACTTGGAAATAGTTTCAATATTAAAAACAAACACGGAGATCATTGATAGAGTGCAATGCTTGCATTCAATTTAAAGATAAACTATAAGTCTCCCCAATTCCAAACTTTCAAGTGGTAACCCTCACACCAGTTCCTTGGGAGTACTCATTCACCTCCCGCTGGTATTAGGGAGACTGTGAAGGAAAGACAGAGATGCACTGCAAGATTACCTTTCAACTCTATATAAGGATTCAAAGAGGCCAGTGTATCCAGGGAATATTTTAGGATTTTTAATCACTCAAGAAGTGCAGTTAGAGAGGCCATATGGTCTTGAAGATAAAATATGAAGTGAATACTGCCAATTTATGAAACTTTCCAATGTATTTTTGAATGACTTTATTAACTTTCCCACACTTATTGATAGTCATAAATGTAAAAACCCAGAGAAAATAATGCTTGTAGGGAGATCAGTAGTATTTAATAAAATATTTCTATTCCCCATCCATATGAATATACATGAATTTCAAAAAGCAGCTTTTTAAAAAGCACATACTCTTGACTTACCTTTCCAAATGATCCCTGCCCTAATACTTTTAAAAGTTCAAATTGGGAAGGATCTGCCTTTTCATGTCCTTCCTTTACATGATGTGTGATTGCAATTTCTTTGATACTGCCTTCTTCCTGTTGATGCAAATATAAAGGGAAAAAACAGTCAGAGCTACTTCTTCTAGGCATAAATCAAGAAATATAACTTTAGCAAATCATATTAGAAATCCTTAAATTAACATACACAAACCACCTTTACTGACCCACCAAATAAACAGAAAACATACTAGTATGCCAAGCAAATATTACTTTCAAGTTAAATGTCAGGGACAAATACCAGCCTACCATATTTTTTCTTTTCTTTTTGCCTATAATAATATTTTTTGTAGTGCATATCAACTATTAGCAGAATATAAATGTGTTATACAAACATAAACAATTATTTTATTACTATCATATTCCATATAAATGTTTGAGATCAATCAACATTTCCTGAGACACTCACAGAATATTGGAAATATAGAGAATTACAAAGATTTCTTAAAAAGATATAGCAGGGTATCTTAATGTGGTAGCTTTTGAAAAGAGCAGTAAAATGAAAATAAGCTCTCTCTAGCTGGTTTGGCTCAGTGAACAGGGCATCAGTCTGAGGACTGAGGGTCACTGGTTAGATTCTGGTCAAAGGCACATACCTCGGTTGCAGGCTCCACCAGGGCTGGGGCACATGCAGGAGGCAACCAATCAATGTCTCCCTCACACTGATGTTTTCCTCTCTCTGTCTTTCCCTCTCCCTTCCATTGTCTCTGAAAAATCAATGGAAAAATATCAAGTGAGGATTATAAGAGAAGAGAAGAGAAGAGAAGAGAAGAGAAGAGAAGAGAAGAGAAGAAGAGAAGAGAAGAGAAGAGAAGAGAAGAGAAGAGAAGAGAAGAGAAGAGAAGAGAAGAGAAGAGAAGAGAAGAGAAGAGAAGAGAAAATAAGCTCCTGTAAGAGGACAAAAAAGGGAATCCAGGCCCACCATTTTACTCTGTAAGTCAGAAGCTGTATTTTGTAGACTGTACTACTACTTAGGTAGCTTAATCACTTTAGAATCTCTCAAAACTTTGGCAACAATAATAAAACAATCTCCTAATAGGGTGCAGTCCTTTGTCATTCCACATGCATTATTTCCTTTCATTCTCACAACAATCCTGTGCAGTAGGCATTAGAGGAGAATCTAGCATCAGCTGACTATGATTCGACCCCCTTTCCTGGGCACTTATCTCCCAATGAGACCAGTGTATAAGGGCCTGAGAGTGATAGCTGCTCATAGCTACATTAGAAAAGAGAAAAGCAAGTTTAAAAACATTTAAAAAAAATCCCACAAACAACCCCAATGTATATGTGCAATTAATTAAGATTTAGATTAAAATCCAGCAAATGTTTATTAAAAGTACCTACCATGTATCAAGCCCAGGTTAGATGCTTTTTCATTATATATGTATGTATGCCTGTATGCATGCATGTATATATATATGTTGATTTCAGAGAGGAAGGAAGAGGGGGTGAGAAAGAGATAGAAACATCAATGAGAGAAAATCATGGATCGGCTGCCCCCTGCATGCCACCTCCTGGGGATCAAGCCCACAATCCAGGCATGTGCCCTTGACCAGAATCAAACCCAGGACCCTTCAGTCCGCAGACTGACACTCTATCCATTGAGCCAAACTGGCTAGGGTGCTTTTTCACCTTTTATCTCACATTTATGCTTCACGCCAAGTCTTTGACTACATATCAGTGTTAGAGAAAAGTGATAACACAGTGGAGTATTCCCCAGAGCAAGCAAAAACATTTCAGAATTCTCTACAGACTCACTCGATTCACCACTAGAAAACTGACAGATTTTCAAAAGGCAAAAAATGGTTTGAATACTGTACAGTCTGAAGTTTAAAAAGATTAAGTAAAGATTACAAACCAGTAACTGACAGATTTAGGGCTCAATTCCAGAACTTCTGACCTCTAATGACTTCTAAAGCAAAGCTCTTAGCATTACAACCACACTGAGGCTGTCAGAGGCTCTTGGTGGTTCCCCATCCAAGATCAGTGAAAGGAACAAATGCATTCCCCTCGTCTTTGTTACTGGTATGTATCCTTGGGTCACTTAGCTGAACTGATTGGAGAAGTAGTCTCTGAACTTTTGGTAGCACATCCTTATTAGTAATAACAATTTAGCATATACCCAATATTTGTACACTTATTGGCTTATAAATTATATGCATGTACTAATACTTTTTGTATTATTAAATTATATACATTATACATGGAAATAAAACTATAAAAAAGTTTTCTTTTTTATTTTCTGTACCCCAAAGTACTGTCACTTTGCACTTTGAAGACTAGTAGATTAGTCTAGAAACCAAGTTCATGGATTGGATTCTAGCATATGCCAGTTAGCTTCCTATGGAAGAAAAACGATCTGTTCAAGAGTCTAACAGGAATCTAATGGCCATTTATGTCCTTAAATCATGAGCCTGTGAAGAACTATACTATGTCATGTTCTCTACGTTTTATCACTTTTCTTTATTGGATAAATGGGATATGACTTATTAGGCTGTAATATTTTATCATCTTATATTTCACAGCAAATACCTACAATTGTCTGTCACAAATAAAGATGCAACACAGGCAGGAAAGGATCACCGAAATAGAAAAGTTTTGTATTTTGTCATAGGCTTACAGGATCAAGCCTTACTCTCAGAGTGTGAGCTATGATCAGGCTATGGATCTCAAAAGAAATAGCAGTTACTATTCAAGAGAGATTTCATCTTTGATGTCTACCCTTCCTTTCTTCTGTCAAAAAAGTTACTAAAAACAGTCTCCCTTTGATTCCTTCATTCAATAAACATATACTAAAACACATACAATGTATCAAGCATGGTACTGAGGAGACTTTTCATTTTTTTCCTATTTCCAATATCATCCATGTCTTATCCTTTATCATCTTTCCTGAAGAAAACTGAAATTAGATTGGTTACTCAACATGCCCGTATCTGCCACTGCCAATAAAATTCATCCTCCTGACAAATTCATTTTCTGAAAGTAGACATATGACCACATTGCTCAAAAACTCCTCCAAATTTTCTCTAGTTAAATGAACTGCTTCACTTTGGCATTTGAGGTCCTCTACAATATGGCCTCAACCTTCTCTTCCAGTATTATTCCCAGCATTCCCTTACATGCAGCCTGCCAACCTGGGTTATTTTCTGTTCCCTATTTTTTTTTTAAATCAAATTATACACACATGCATGTGACAAACCAGTGACAGAATAGCTTATGATAAAGTCTCTTCTAATCTCCAAATGTAGCTTTTTTAAAAAAAAAAATAGTTACATTATTTCTTAATTTAACTTTAAGACAAGGCCTCCTAATTTTAAAATAAGAAAGATGAAGGACCAATTTATATTATGCCCCTTCCTTTCATTATCTTCCTCCTTGCTGTTTGACAATCACCGCCCCCCTACACTTTGCTGCTAGCTGTATTTTTACATTTTTAGTAATATTAAGACAATCAACATTCTCTCCGGTAACCACAACCAAATCCTTCATGCTCTCTCTATAGCCTGATTCTAAAAACTGAAAGTTATACAACAGCACCCATATTTTTATGACAATATACTGGTTGAACACAGGCTAGGAAGTATATTAAATTTCCTTTTATATGGACCTATAACAGTGACTTCCAGAACAATAATCCAAGGGGACTTAAAAATAACACTTCTTCAAATACTTAAAATTCATGATACACTTTAACTTTGATTTCCATAGATTTCTTGTAGTTTTCTATTTTTTCTGTTTCTAACAGCCCCAAGTCATTCTTGTGGGGAGGGAGATGTTAATTTGATCATTATTCTTAATCTTTTCTTAACCCTTAACCATACTTTTCATTCTTCCGAGAGCCCTCTCATGCCCTCCCAGCAGATGGGTTGTTTTCTAGCTCTTGCTGCACAGCTATTATCTTGGGGATATCTCTTTCCTGGTTGAATCCACTATTTTTAGTTTGCATGTCTTTCTCTTTCTTGGATTACTCCCTTGTAACTTCCTAAGAAAGGTGATGTGGGGAAAAAATTTCTGAACCTTGAACATCTGAAAATGTCTTTATTTTGTCTTCACAAAATAGTTTGGCTTAGTACCAAATTCTAGAACAAAAACAACCCTGCCTCAGAATGTCAACACCGTTGGTTCATTGCCTTCTAGCAACCAGGCTGCTGCTGAGATGGGTGATGCTAGCCTGATATATAGATTTTGGTGGGTGACCTGGTTGTTCTTTCCAGGAACTTTAAGATTTTTCTCTTTCCTTATATTTCTGAAATGCCACACTAGTGAGATAAATATGGTCTTCTTTCCTTCAAAATGCTTGATGTTTGGTGGTGAATCTTTATAATCTAAAGACCTGAATTCCTTACCTCTGGGGAACTCTAACATTTCTTTGATAATTTCCTACTATCCAGGATTTCCTTTTTTGTAGCCCCTTTATTAGTTGGAAATTGTATGTTTAGAATTGAACCCTTTATGTCACTTATCTTTTTTTCTCCTATTATCTGTCTCTCTTTTTTCTGAGATTTTATTTTCTTACCCTTATACTGAACTTTTTATTCTGGGAAATGTTATCTTTAAATAAATTTTCAAGTACTCATTTTCTTAATGTTTTTTTTTTTTTTTTAAACAGCACCTTCCTCCACTTCCTACCATTCCCCCTCCAAGTGAATGCAATCATTCCAATCTCTTTGAGGATACAAACGAAATCTTAAAAATCCTTTTCTAAATTGGGGCTCAGAGAGGACAAATAATGTTCTTGGGAGTAGAGAAAAAAGATCAATGCCTATAGCTCAAGTTCCATGTCATTGTTTTATCCTCAATACATGTTTCTGTTCCTTCCAAGTTCAATTTTTACTAAGCACATCAACAAACTATATCTACATTTTTGTATATGTGAAATAAAAGTAGCATAATAGGCAAAATATCCTTGGTTGGTATCTTGATGACCAGGTTGTGCTTAATGTCATAGATTTTTCCAAGTTATGGAACCATAAGTATTGTATTTTATATTTACTTTTTTTTAAAAAACCAGAAGTATTTTAGAAATGAATCTGAGGTTT